GCAGTTCCTTTTAATAATATTAACACTTGGAATAGAATGAGAAAATAATTGAGTTGGTATAATTTAGTATCTTACTTCTGCTGGTACCATTTATGTTAAAATTTTCTTTATTATTTCCACTATTATATAGTACTCAGATTGTTTCGTAGTATCCACATTGACAAAGCAAATCAACTATCGCCAATGTTCAATGAATTCGAAAGAAAATTAGGAGAATATTATTCACCGCCATCGACAATGAATTATACGTCAAAATTAGAAATACAGTGAAGAAAATTAGCTGCAACATACTCTCAATATTGCTTCGAATCTTTTTCCGAGTGCATAGATATTGAGGATGACAACAACCTATACCAATACTATTATTATACATTGAATGACTCTTTTCATGAGTTTCAAATTCAAAAGAGGGAATTGCGATAGGATGCCTGAATCATTTTCAGGCTGTAAGAGAGTGAAAGTGTATGTATCTCGACTTTTGTCCTAAGGATCATTTGCATCGTGTGCTCTTTAATGAATGTGTAGGTTTAATAGGGTCACGAACAGTAATAAAATACCATAAAGTAACAAACAACAACATTAAGAGTAGCAGAGGAGCTTCATGACAAATTATCTAGCCAGACGAGAGATGTCAGCTCATAGGAGTGACATTGCGAAAAAATATACGTTCTGACTTTTTATTTAATCGAAAGCGAAGTTGCATTCTTAACAAATGTTTCATTTGTTTTTGTGAACTAGTTTCAGTACATTGCAAATATCGAAATGAATACTTTTAGAGGAAACAATAATGTATTTATTTTTCATCATTAGAAAGTCACTTATTTGATGGACAAGAATCGAATAAAATGATTGAGAATAGGCATTCTTCAGTCTTGTCTCGGAAGTAAAGATCCAAAGATCACTGTCTTCGTAACTTCTTCTATTATATGCTAATCCTTACAGAAGCGTTTTCTATGAGGGTGAACATGAGGGGTGTAGACAAGCCCTCTCTCTACTCGTGTCCCGCACCTCAATCTCATTTTACATACCTTCAACGTGCTTGCTCAAAAAAAAGGAAGTAATTTTGTAAACATTTTTCTCCCTTCTGAAAGGGCTGAGACACACCTTCAAACAGAAAAGAAAAAACAGTGAGAAAAATCTTTTGTTTCTATTTCAAAAAACAAAGCATTCGATTCATTTTCGATTTTGTCTTCGACGATCTCATCGACATATACCAGCTAAGTATGCATTTGAAACAGAAGAACGAAGCCTTTTCTTTATTCCCTATGCTTACTTTCGAAATTAATGTTCTTTCTGATTAATATGCGTTCGAAATTATGATTTGATCGCAATCGTAACAGGAAAATTTATTTCCAATACATGTTGACCGACGATGTTAGGTAATGATTGCGGCCAGAGTGGTATTATCAACTTGAGTGAGGTGTAAATGAGGCTGGTGATAATACTGTTCATGAAATTCATACTGCCAATGTAGTATCCGGTCAAGAGATCCACATGCTCAAAATAAGGCTACTGATCATCTGTCAGAGCTTTTGGCAAGTAGTGAACGTAAGTACAAGTGTTCAGATGGGATTCACCTATCCACATCCCACCTTCACCCTCCCTCCACGTTCACACCCGTACCGGCACCAAAACCTCACCCTGTTGGTCGTTGCCACTAAACATAGATACTATTCAAAGAGACATACAGATTAGTAATCTGTCGAGACATATCGACTCAACCGATGATGGATAGTTTTAGAGAATTGATATGTCAAAAAAATTGTATAAGTTCTATGAATAGGGTCATAGAGGTCAATTCTGTTAGATGCCTTTTGACAAACACTATAGACCAGTTCTCGATCCATTTTCTCGTGATTAATCATATATTCAGATCGCTTTATTTGATACTACTAGATAAATGCCACCATTGTGGATATATGAAGCACTAAATGTTTATTTGCATACCTAAACAGCGTGTCTGATTGTTAATACTTGTGTTTTGCTCTTTGTGGATATCACTAATTTCATTTGCGCTAAGCAGATACTATAGCATATTTCATCCGAATAGAAATACTTTTTCAGCAAGATGCATAAGAAACTATTTCAGAACAGGGAAGAGACTTCCTAATGCGAACCAGCATCAATAGTACCAGTACATGAACATTGACTGAATGCAAAAGAACGACTATCACTCTTTCTAATGCTATCGTCGACAAATGAATATTCAGGTGGGTGTTTAAAAAATGCCCACTCATTTTTGTTGTTGAAGATGTATATTTAATCAGCCTTTGGCAACAACGGTCACCAAAATCGTTAAGGATAGACAGAGGGACAGTAACTATACTAGATGAGATGGTGATGGGATAAACATATGTAAAAGAAATACATTGCACAAATCTAATCGCAAAAGTCTTGACGCAAAATGTTCGTTTGTCGTTTTTGTCATTAGAAAACAGCTAGTGAGAATAAACAAAACCTTGCCAGAATCAGAATTTTTTGATCTTTTCAAATAAACGTACCCAATTGCTGTCTCCAATGATATTTTTTTCGCTGTGAACAAAGATTTCAAAAGACAGAAAATGATGTCTACAAAGAATATTGTTTGTTTTCTGTTGTGTATTTTGATGGAAGCTTAGTAAAGCCTGTTTAATTTTCTACCCTAAGTGATCTTAATTCTAATTAAGTCTTTTTATTTTTCACAAACCAATTGATAGGATCGAAAAATGATCTAAGGATTTCTCTCACAACTTTTTCAACATGGATTGATGGGTTTATCGTTGACTTTCTAATTATCAAGGAGAATCGAACTTATTTTACATTAAGAGATTTCATCCATAATTCGGAGTACACATTAGCAAGACATAAGCAGTACACATCAAAATATTAGAGCACAAGGGACGATGTAAAATTATCTTGACAATCAGTTTCATTGATCTAAATGTTCCATTGTTTTTGATTTAATAGTGCTAGTTGTGATAAACTACTATCCATTCAGAAATACAGTGGACTCAATTGTAAGTTGCATAACTTTTGAAAGAACGTAGCTAGAAAGTTGTGGTTGTCAATATTCACAAGAGGACAGATAGCTTTACCAATTTGTGGAGTCAATGTGGGTGTGAGTGTGGGGTATAGGTAGGTAGGTGAGGGTGAGAGTATTATTACAAGAGAAGACGAGATGCAACCGCACACTCACACCTACATTCCACATCCACCAACACTCACATCCCACACTCACGCAATATACAACATGAGAAGAGAAGAATATGATCTTAATGGTTTCCATTCAAGACACACAAATGCAACAAATACATAAATTTACTGCACTTCTCGTCGCTTCTCCTCATCATTCATTAATCTCTTTAACATGGGCTCCTTTAAGTCACTAATCTTACGTCATATACGGTGAAAAACTAAATAAACAGTACCCAAAAAAGCATTTGGATAATACTTAATTCAAACAGCCCTGAATGATTCACAAACATATTACGATTTTCTAGCGCCGTAGATTTTCACCAACGAAAGACGAATTCATTCAAAAATAATTACAACAAATAATGCATCCAATGCCAGATAGCAAATGTTTCGGTCTGTTGCTCATATTGAAACCAAGATTGTGACTCCGTCAGTTGGTAATATCCTTGTTGAAAAACTTGTAAATTATACCGGGGTAATGGGTATCATTTCATTCTTCTTATCTGTCATGTATCGTATCGGTTGAATGTTTTTTCGGCTTATGAAATTTTATACACAGTTCTACATAGGCTTTGTTCGAAACAAAGACACAATGTAGAATATGCTAGTGACTGTTTCAAATATATTACTAATATGGATGTTTTCTCTGTGAAGTTTATCGAACTCATATCTAATCTAAATATGGTGTATTTACTGGTGCACAGATGCGCCGAATAACTTCGAGTAGACGAATCGAGTATAAGCAGTTAGGTTGAACATCTTTTAAATATATCTTAATGGGCGACTAACAGGAAAGGAGCATACTTCATTACTTCAGAAGTATGGTTGGTGTTTTCAAGAGCGGCCTTTTCTCTAGCTGAGCATTTGATTGCGAAATACTTCTTTTGGGATTCTTTCAAATTCATTTACAGCGAAAAATTGAAAATTTCAAAAATACTCAATAGAAATAACATATACTGTTTTCTTCATTGTTTCTCTATATATAAATGGAAAACTATTTTTCAGTTGAAATACGTAGTCTGTAGAAAATGTGAAAAATAAAAGAAACAATTTTCAACAAAATATATAAAAATAATGAAATAACATGATAGTAAATCGAGTCTAATACTATGCACAAGATGTTCTCTTAGTTGAAAAAACATTTTACCACACTTGAAATACAACGTTATATCAATTAAACGGACATATATACTTCGGCATGGATCTCAATTTGATAGTAAAGGTTATTAATGCATTCGAATCATTTCTATAAAAGTATGATGTTTTATTCAATCTCAGATAAACATTAGGATTTATAATCTATGATATAATCATCTTGAAACACTCAAATTCTGTAAATTCTTTAATCGAATAATAATGCAATGTAAATGAGTTGTATATTATTTGATACATTTTGAGGTATCAGTTGTCATTAAAAATCTACTTCATTTGTTTCTACATCGAATGCTAATATAAATACGAAACTAAAAACTAGTTCGTCTTATTGATTCTAAATACTTAGAACTTAAACACATGCCTTCCATTGTAATTCATGAGTTGATACACAATGACAATTGTTGCTAACTTTGTTTATTTTTGTCTTCCGATGGAAACTTTAGAATTATTGTTTCTATCATATTTGAGCGAAGATTCTGGAAAATCGTTGATAAGTAAATTTTTATAAGTTTACTATTAATCAAACTAATAAACAATTTTTTGACAAATCCAAATGTTCACTGTTCAATTATTTTATTACAATAAAAAAAAAAAACAACTATGACAACAAATAATAAACATCTGACATAAATTCATTTCATATGTTTCACGACTTTTACAATGAAAATTTTTCAAATAGTAATATTAAATTTATGTTGTAATTCAAGTATAACAACACGCATTGAAGTTAAATATGATAAAAAAGTACCAGCCAAGAAAAGTATTAAAATACATAAGAATGAAATACTTAAACAAAACAAAACTATATTTAAATTTGTAAATAAATATTTCGATGTTTGAGTTCTTTTTAAAATAGATTCTTTTCGATCAATTAATTGTTCATATACCTTTGGACAATAAATTTGTGCTATACGAGCAAATGGTGAAAGATTTTCGACAGGTAAATTCATTGTCATATGATGAAAATAATGTATGGAATAAATACTTGAATTTTTTATTAAATAATCAATATCATCGAAAGATTTTGAGTGACGAAAAAATTGTGGAATTTTCTAATAGAAGAACAAAAGCAATCGAAATTAGATTTATTCGAAAGAAAAATTTTTACTTGATAAGCTATCGGATAAAAAACAAATGATGGTTGAATATCAATTTTTTGACATTTATCTCTTGAATGTATGTGTAATTTTTTATCATCACAAACGCGTTTTAAAGCATCGGATAATGCTGATGGTCCAACACAATTCCAACAAAAAGCATTAAATTGTGTATTAACTGACGTTAATTGAATATCCATTTGTATATCTAATGCTATATGTTGTTTTTCAAATACTAACACAGCTACATTAACACTGTCAACCGATTCAAGTGCAACAGTATTTGAAAATAAAGAAAATGTTTTTAATGGAATGACATCAAGATCGAAATATATTCCACCATATTTATATAGAAGTGCTGTACGAATAAAATCACTCATATGTGATATGGCAAAATAACGGATCACTTGTGTACGTTTGGTTTCATTTAATCTTGATAATGTTGTACCTGAATAAATATCATATTCATTGAAATGAACAAAACGTATATTTGTATATGTACGTAAACGATTGAATGAACCTTTTCTTAAATGAATATATTGACTACGCATAAAAACAAATATAAGACCGGTCGTATGTAAACGTGCAGCTGATTCAATTGAACAAGCATGTCGAGATAGAATATCTTCATTTTCAGATGTTTGAACGAAAAAAATTTTTAATTGAGTATTTAATAATTCAAATTCATGATAAGAAAAATTCTCAAGTAATACATGGCTTTCATCTGTACAATTTATATAATTATTATTATCATGGAAATTTTTATATGAATCATCGTTAAAATCAACTGTAAAAATATTGAATATACCATATAGACTAGCTTTCGACAACTGAGTGATTGATATATAGATGATTAAAAATGAAACTATAAAGGAATAATATATTATATTGTTTACAAGACTATGTAAAGACTTACTGGTAAAAATGATCGACCATCTGAAAACATTGACAGTTCTAGATGAAAGAACAGAAGAAAAAAAAGCATATTTTGTAACATTAATCATAAACATTATTAAGAGAAAATAGTTCTCCTTTCTGTTTTTTCATAAAACAATATTCTAACATCATCTTTGTCTGTAGTTTTTTGTGTTATCGGCATGTTAGAATTATATTTTATTCTTCTAACATTGATTCATAAAGGTCTTTTGTATGCAGAGAAAAGCGAGAGAAAAAAAAAAGTAGACATCAATGAAGTTGAATGAATATAACCAAATAGAACTGTGTAATATGTATGCAAACACTAATCTTCTGTCTCTCCTATTCACTTTACAACAATGAAGCAATAAAATGAATGTAGATGTTATTTGAATGCTTAGATAAAGATATTTTTAAACTTTAATAAATTGATTTCATGAAAAGATCACAAAATACGTACTTGAATTTAAATATAATCATGATTGATTGTTATTTAATTGTATCTTTTTTTTTTGCCACATATGTTTCTATTAGTATTTGCTTAACTGATAAAACTTAGCATGTCTAAAAGAAAAGACTTCATGTCAATTAATTGGTTAAATACTTGATGATTTCAAACAACGACAACCACTGCTGTCAGTTATAAAAAGATAAATAAAAAAAGCAGAAGATGAAAAGCAAGTATATTTTTGTCGAGTTTTTTTCGACACAAAGTAACAGCAATATAATGAGAATATAGGCGGATAAAAGTGTTTTGTTTATTTTATAACTAATGCATTTAGACTCATATTTTTTCTATCTTTTGATTTGACAAAATTCCTTTGGTTACTCTTTTTTTTTAACATTGAAATGTCGGTCGTCATGGAAAACAGAAGTTCTTGTCAAGATTAACACGAGATGTGTCTTACCTCTCGTTAAGAATTTGAAGTCACTGGAAAAGATGTGCGAGAAAAAGGCTAGATAGAGAAAGCAAAATTACTTTTTTTCCTGTTTCTGTGTCTTCGCGTTTTTTCTTCATCTTCTTCTCTTATTCTTCATCCACCGCTTCTATCCTCTAATACAGCTAACGACTAGTCTTCTTCAGCATTGCTTTGTCTGTACGCCCTGCCCACATCTATAAAATAAGCAGAAATACAACCTCCTAGAACAGCGGTGCTACACAGAATGAAACAAATATGGGGCAGTAGTGTTATCGCTACAGAAGAAAAAAAGAAAGAAAAAAATTGGCACAAATACCGAGTGAGAAATCGAACATGGAATAAATTATTTAATTCGATCATATTCAAAGCACGTTGACATTGTATTCTTAGAAAACTCAAGTAATCAAAAAGAAAAATAACATAATTTTATATAAATCTCAATATGAAACAAATTCAAGTCTATTAAATCAATTTTTTATTGTTCCTTTACTTAAATTTTCGTACTTCATAAGCATTAAAATGATAACATTTTAGTTTGATTTTATTGTAGTTACTAACATTTTCTTCTATTTCATTTTTCATTTATTGCTGTTAGATCAAAACTATCATATTCTACCATTTACAATTCTAACGAAAAGAAAACTTTGTCCTTTTGTTGACTTCTAAGGTTTCTTGTCTATTCACCTAAAATAAATTCACGCTATCTTGTTATTCGATCAATACTAATAATAGAAACATATTTTTTTTTAAAGCAAGCCGTAGTTTTAGATGTAAGATTTTTATTATGACATTATTGATATGTTATAAACATAGAAATCTTTTTCAAACAAAGTGAACTATTAATCTTAAACAAAAATTGTAGTAAAAGATCAGTTTACATTGAAAGATGTCAGACAGATAAATTCAATATTTGCGTTTTTTTTTCACTAGCATTTGCCAATAGCAATGATATATGATGTCTAGGATTATGATTATAATATGATGCATCTTCATCTTATCGATGTTGACAATAAGATTTGTTTTCTGCTGTTATCATATATAATTATTCAATTGAATTAGAAATCCATGTTCATCCATCGTTATTATTATTATTATATAAAGTGCTTAAGTTTAGAAAAAAAATCCGTTACTCTTGGCTTAATCAATTTAGATATTCAACCGAATATTCTTCTCTAAATATTTTCTTTTGATTTTCATCATAACCTCGATTCTGTTATATTTTGACAAAAAAAGAAAGAATAATATACAATATTATCCAAGCCAAGGTTATTTTTTTTTCACTATTTTCATAGGTTTTATGCATTCAATCGAAAAACATGCCATATTGCCTTGTAATCTGTTTACAGTCCATGGAAGAAAAGCATCGATTGACTATATGGATAATAAACAATACTTTTCTTTTTTTGTTTACGCATACTATCTTGTAGTACGATGTATATAACAATATTTAACAAGCTAGATACTATTAAAGGATACAAGGTCGGACATGAAGATCGTTCTCAACATAGAATACAATTGGTTACGGATGAATTGAAACGCATCAATATGTAAATCGTGTGGTTAAATACCTGGATGTTTTTCATTTTTCGATCATATATATATATACATATATTTTCAGCTAATTAATCGTTTAATCGATATCAAACCGTATACGAATAAAAACAAGCATTATTTTAACATATATTTAGTTATTCATTCATCGAAGCTCGTTCGTTACAACAATGTATATAGAAGCAGATATGAATCGACATATGCGGAATCATTTTCATAATGTTGCAAGAAATATGAACAATTATGTTGCTGCATCAAGGCATCATTATCATCAAAGACGATTTTATCCACCTATGCATGATAGAGTACATTATTCACCTGCGTATCAAAGCCCATCAATAATGAATTCTGGTCTTAGTGGTATTATTGCTCATGGTTTGAATTTAATTGGTATGCCACCAAATATTATCAATATGGGTTATCGTTTTGGTTATTTTTTTGATGTTCTTGGATAATTTATTAGTTCATTCATTTTTGTTTTTATTAAGATATGGTTTAAGTCAGTTAATTTTGTTTTGCGCGTGCATTTTTTTTTTTGTTTAGTTTCAAATCAAATATTCAAACAAAGGATTACCTACATGAACAATATTTATGAACACAAACATTAATACAGAATGAGAAGAAGAACATAAGGACAAAAGTTTTTTGTTTCATTTTTTTTTTGTCGACAATTATCTATTGACTAGAAAGCAAAGCGTGTACGAATATCTTCAAGTTTTTTCGCAACTTCGCTTGTTGTTCGATCGAGACCTTCAGCAATCATTTTTTGTTTATTTATATCAAGGTGATTATATTGTTCACAAAGATCGCCATCAAGGACATTCTAAAACAATGAAAGAAAATATTTTATTTATATTTGATCTTCTTCTCTCTCATTATTCTTGTTTTTTGAGTGAGACTTTTCTTTTTTATTTTTCTTGAAATAGGAAAATAAATATTTATACTACACTAATTATTAGTTTTTCATTTATCGTGATAAAGAAAGAAAAACAGAGAACAATAACCTATGCTTGCAATAACTTATTTAACGAGAAGGTGTCGATGTGTTCTCATGGGTAATTCACAGCTGTTACTCTTAAATTTTCTCATACTATTTTTTTTTACTATTGTCTGAATGAATCTATTATACTAAAAATTAATGCACAACCTTGATTTCCGTTTTTTTTACCTTAACTGGATAATAATATGATCGAAAAGCAAGATGATCTCTGCCAACTAATGTTTGATATTCAGCTCGCATATGCATTTCAAGATGTTGAAAAAAATCATAATCCTATAAGAAAAAATAACAACATAATTTTCGATATATTATCTTGTTAGAAAAAACAACATATTTAATGTGTGATCAGACACAAATTAAAAAAAAAACTTTCGTCATTTATCATCCGAATTGTAAACGACTAATGTTTAGTCATCATTTCACACATTATTAAACTTTTCTTTTGTACCTCATTTGATGCAAATGGTACAAGTACACCTATTGAACCAGATAATGTTGTATAAACAAGAGATTCTGATCCACCTGGTATTAATGTTGCTCGTTGAACTGATGTAACCATTTCTCCAACATAGAAATGAGCAAGTAAGTCACACTAAAATAAAAATTTATCTTTTAGAAAATCAATGTGAAAAAAAAAACAAATACTTTATTTGATGCTCCATTTAATAAACCTCGATCCCATAAACCTTTACTTCCTGTTGGATCAATTTCAACATCATCATTAGCATCAAGTGGAACACGTAACTGAAAAAATAGATACATTAAAAAACAAATAATTTAAAGAAAATTCTTACTTACAATAGCTATATTACCAAATTTATCAGTTAAACATACAGTACTATAATCTAATAAACAACAAGCAATAGTAAAACGTGGACATGTATCATCAGCAAATACAACTAATTGATTTTCCATTGTTTTATAACGAAGAATATGTATACTTTCTTGTACATCAGTTACAAATATACGATTACCCAATGAATGTATCGTAGCTATTTGATTTGGAATGTTCTAAATAATTTAAATATATATATATATATATATATTGATTATTATGATGTTCGAAAATAACAAATCCTTGACGAAAACCTTTTTTTCCGAGTTTTTATCTATACAATACAACAATAAAAGTGAGAATAAAATCTATGACTAAATAGGATTTAGATTTTCAAGTAATTAGTGACAGATTGTTTTATTTTATATATTTTAGAACATATTGCTTTATCATTCTTTTATTATTAATCTTTCAGACATGCTGTAAGGACATAGTTCATATACGGTCTATGTGACAGACTCAAATTTTCATCCCTATATTTTAATATTCATTTTAGATTGTGTTTTCAGAAAATAATGTTGTTCTACCTCTGTCTGTACAGGTAAAAAACAATTATATAAAAATCACAAGAAAAAAAACGATTAATTATCGATAATAATCAAAAACTAATCAAGCATATCAAAATTTCATGAATTATTCTGATTATTTTTTGATGGAAACCGATTCAAAATTGTGCAAAAAAAAAAACTCATTTTTAATCAATGTCATATGATTATAAACGATTTTTCATATCATTTTCTTCTATACGAATAGCAGACGATATATCCAATACAAAAATTTATCTAAGTAGATTATTTAAAATTTACTTTTTAAATTCAAAGATCGTCTTCGAAAATATTCATTTGAAAAATGACAATTCTATAAACGCATATTCAAAGTAAAAAAAAACAAAAATAACTTCATTACGAATACATATCTTATCTACAATCGTATCTATCAAATAGAATATCATGTAAATAATTTATACACGTCAAAATGTACGAAAACATGTAACGAGCTAAAATTATTTCTATTAATTTTCTTCTGTTTGATTTCAAAATTTCATTTTACAAAAATATTGAATTTCATTAAACAGAAGATATAATTTTGAAAAAAAAAATTCATTTTACTTACTTTGTTTTCACATTTTTTAAGTAATTTCTTTTTGCCAATTTCATAAATACGTAAACAAGATCCAACACCAACTAAAGCACGTCCAAGAAATGGATATATTGCCACTATTAAAATAAAAAAGAATACATTTCTATTTTATTATAAATAGAATCTTTTTATTTCTTTCATACTTGGAATTTCATCTACTACAGTTCTATGAATAAAATGAAGTCGTTCACCATTCTCTAATACAAGAAAACAATAGATCATTCCACCAAGATGTGAACGTGGTGAAAGAACAAGATCACGTGCAACACCAACTAATAAAAATGTATCTGCTGGTCGAGTATCAAAACGCATTAAACTTAAACTAAAAAAAAAGGAAAAACGAATATGAAAATTTGAAAATGTAAATTTTTTTTTGTACCAAACAGCTGATTCATTTTGTTCAAATTCATAAATAAATTTTGTATCACCACTAATTGGATCCATAACACGTAATTGTGCTGCCCACATACCATTAGCGGCTTTAGGCGCACCAAATAGTTCTTCAGGTAGTTTTTCTGATAACATTGTATTAGCTACTTCACGTGCTGCTTCTTTATCTTCATCATCAGCTGCATCAATTATATCCTAAAAAATAAATTTCTCTTATTGATTTCTTTTTCTATAATAAACATCTGATCAAGAAACAAACTTTTCCAATTTGTTCACGATTTTGTTGTTTAGTTATTTCTGTATATGTCGCATGATCGGATTCAATTATATAAAGCCAATTCATTTCAGGATGAATTATAAAACGACGTGGTGTTAATTTAAGTTTACGAATTTCTTGATTAAATATGGCACCAAGTTTTTCTAATGTTAAAATTCTATAGAAAAAATAAATATAATTTTTTCAGAAAAGAAGAATTTTTCTAATGACACATACCGAAGTGTATTACCAGCTATAGCAACAATACCTTCTGGACATTGTTCAGATGCAAAACCCGATGCATGTTCAAGAGATTCATAAGATAAAGGTGTCAAATGAAAACGACCTTGATATGTATAACTAAGCCATGTACGACTTGACATAGCTAATACCTATTACAAAATTCAATTTAATGAGTTCTATGATAATGAATTTTCAAAGACAATAAATCATTATGTTTTGTATTTGAAATAAAATGTTTTTATTTTCAATATATTTTAGAGCAAAATGCTCAGGCTACTCTCATTTCAAAGAGAACTTCTTACATTAGAGCGAACACTAACAAAAAGAAATTTATTCAGAATTCGACAATTTAAACAAAAAAAAAGTCGATTTTGGGAATTTTTTTTATGTTCATCTCAAGAACTTTCTGACATGAATATCAAATATAGTAATATTATTTTCCAATTAACAATTCATCTCGAAAGGTCTTATAGATGCACATTGGGCTAGGATCAAAGACTGTAACTACAAAAGCGCTTATAGTTTTTTCTATGAATATGATATTTGTCTTTCGTTGGAGAGCTCTAAAAAATCATCAATTCACAAAGTGTCATCATATGTTGAATTTTTTATCAAATAATTCACGATCAAGAATATTAGAATTCTTTAAATTATACTTACAGCTTCATTTCCTTGCATTAAAATTCGAAATAATTTCACTGGTTTTGAACCAATATAACGTGTCCTAGTATCAGACATATCACCTGTGACAGAATCGAGAACACTTCTTAGAAGTACACCATTCTTAAAAACAAAAAACGATATCCTATAGATTCGATTTACAAACTAATTTTCGTTTTACTTGTAAACCAATATTTAAAAATGAAGTACCAGTTGGTCCAACTTGTTGTTCACGACCACTAGTTGTATCGACAATAACACCACCTTCAGTTGTTTTCATTTCAACAATACATAAAGATTCAGGTGCTTCTGGCAATGCTTGCATACTCAATCGATTTAAACAATCCTAATCATTAAAAAAAAAACAAAGATTTTTTCAATTGTTCTATTAGATGTTTCTACTCACTTGAGGATCAAGTGATATAATTCGAACGGTACGATCCGAAAGTCCAACAGCAAGAAAACGTGAACGTTGTTCACCTTCAGGTACGGAACCTAAAGCCATACATATAATATCACCTGGCATTTCTTTTCTCTCGGTATATTCATTTAATTGACCAGTCTAAAACAAAAAAAAAATACATGAATCTATGCATATTTTCTTTTCTTAATCATACAGCATCCATTTCAAAATAAACAAGTTCACCACCAGTTAAACCAATAACAACTTGTCGTTGATTAACAGCTGCTTTAGTTATTGTTCTTTTTCCTGGTGCACGCCATTCATTAACACGTTTATCAGCTCGTATATGTCGAATACCTTCACGATAAATCTAATAAAAAAAAAAAAATTTCAAAAATCAGTTTAATCAACAATTATAACATATACCTGAAGTAATGAATCATCACCTAATTGACTACATGATAATGTTGGTGTTGTACCAAGAAAACCAGAATCAGTAACTTCTTCAACAGTTTCACCAATTGATAAAACTAATGTAGCATTAATAAATGAAACAACAATATATGCATCAAATGGATCTAAAAACAAAAAAAAACATAATAATTATTTTATCTAAAACCATTTCTATTTACCATCAGCTCTTCGTTTTACTGTCCATACAGCATCTGGATTACCAGGTAATTCTGAAACAGCCATTTCAGTTACCTAGAAAAAGAAATCTTTTTTTGAGAAAAAAAAATTTTGTTTTTCAATTTCATTTACTTCTAAACCATGACGAAGAATTCTTAGTGTTGATCGAGGTCCACGACCACATGTTACATAAATTTGTGGTGTATCTTCATTTGCAAGATCGGCAATATGACAAGCAGTTATTGGTGATAAACTATCCATTTCATCGACTAATATAAGATTTTTTAATTTACGTGGTACAAAAAAAAATGTATCTTCTTCTTCAAGTCGTTCAGATGAACTAAATTCAGGTTCATCATCAGCATCACCTAATTGAGTTATTTGATAAAGATAACTATTGAATAAAACAAAAAAAAAGCAAATATTAATTACAATAAAATGATCTTTTTTTTTAATAAGTACTTACTGATTACCAAATTCAGAAGCAATAAAAAGAAAACCAGTTCGAAGAACACACATTGCCGAAGCAACAGGTACAGTATCGAAATATTTTAAACGAATTTCTGTTACCTAAAAAATAATTATTAAGATAAAACGATTTCTTAAGAAAACAAAGCATTTTTTTTGTCAAAGCTTTACTCGAAATTAGATTAATGAATCTTATTTAATTCATATATAGATTTCGATTTCTTAGAAGTACACTGTTATAAATCAAAATATGCTCTTAATCATGAAGCAGCATCAGATAGGGAAAATTCAATATTATAATCAATAAAATCATATGGGAACACGTTCAATATGACAATCATCCTATACTGCTTTCATTAGGCCACGTGTATTCAAATCACATAACATTTTCAGCCTTATATAATAACGTTTTCCGAAGATATTCAGCAAACAACAATCAAAAATAGTTCATTTAGCTATATACAATTATCAGTGGATCCTCATTATATAGATTTAACTTTATATTTCAAAAACAAAAAAAACGAGCTCTGCACTTAAAACGAAAGAAAAACATTTTTTTTGAAGGATTTCTTACCATTCCCATATCTGCATCATGAGTAAGTGTAATTTTGAATATATCACCTTGTTCTGTTTGAACAAGAAAAAAGAACATATTTTTTGTTTTATGTGTTGCTGTTGCAACAATAATCATTGTACGTTCTCGATCATCAATTTCATTCTAATGTTGAAAAAAATAAATAAATAAATAAAATTTCTTTGAAAAAAATATTTTTTCCTATTAAATATGCTTACTCGACGTCTTGGTATAGGACAACGAATATCTGGTTGATCACCAAAATTTTTAAATGTAATATAATTTTCTGAACAAACAAGCACACCACTTGGTCCTTCACTACCACCAGGTACAGTTATAAGTAAATTAGCAAATTTTTCTAATGGTTCTGAATATTTTCGTACAACATGATTAAGACCTAAATCAAGTTCATAAAATGTTAATGATTGTTTTATATCTTTTGCTGCTTGACCAGTTGGATCATTATCACATTCCTGAAAAAAATAAATTATTTTTCTATTGAAAATAAAAACATCGAATGTAAAATTCAAACCTCATAATCAACTTCTAAACAAGCAAATACTGGATTTTCAAATCCAACATCAACACCAACTGTATGAAATGTTATTGTATTTGCTTTATGTGCTTCCAATGGTGATGATATAGTTAAACGTGCTTGTGCATCTCGATTAAGTATATAAACTAATTTTTGTTTTTCAATTGCACCTGAAAAGAAACGATATAATTATTAAAATATACCATAAATACATTAATATTTACCAATAAGTACAGCACGTCCTTTTGGATCAATAGCTAAATATTGTCCAGGTACAATTCTTCGACAACCTGATTTTCCGAATGTTTCTTGATGTACCTAACTGAAGAAAAGTTTCTCAAAAAAACAAATTTCTTAACATAAAAAAAAAACGTTTCTTGCCTTTTCTAATGTATTTTTTTGTCCATTATATTCAAGAATAAGTATTCGACCTGAATCACTACCAATAACAATATAATCTATATACGACAAAAAAAAAACAGTTTGGAACACAAATGAATATCAATTGATTATGCATACCTCGATTACTACCAGTTAATCGAATAGGATGAAGTGCACGTATTATACCAAATACATTAGATGTTAATAATGTGTGAATTTTACCTGTACTTGGATCAGGTTTAAGAACTTCAAGAACACAACCACGTGAAACAATTATTTCTTGTTGTTTGGGGCCAGAAAAATTTCCATGAATGACATGAGTTATACCACCGGGTCGTTGTAAAGTCAAATTATATAACTTCATCTAGATAGAAATTTGACGGTAAAATTGAGAAAGTTTAAACCAACAGACAAAAGATGAAATGAACGAATGCAATGAAATTATTTTGATTGGTTTGTTGAGTAATTGCCTCTATCTAATTGAACTTTTGGAGAATAAAATCAATTTAATAAATTAATGATAACAATAAAGATTTTTCTTTTGCGATTATTTTCTAAATTTTAAGTTTGAACAATAGATCTGTATTATCATAGGTGGCGTAAGAAATTGGTAATGTTTACAAATGATTTCATTTATTGCTTTACGAAAGTGCCATTCAAAATATTTCGAAATGTGTATATTTTTCATTTATACAATACTGTTTCTTAACCAACATACATCATATCATTTAATAAACTTGATCACATGAAGTATAATAAAGCGTCACACAATATTAAGAACATTTGTTTTCAAATAGAGAAGAGATTGATAATTGAGAGAATGTTAATTATTTGAAAACGTAGGCATACTTTCATCGACATATTGTGCAATTCATCCATCTGATATATTGCGAAAGATTCGATTGAGTAAGGTGAGTGTCTAAGTTCGATGATAAAGTTGGTTTCAGTACATATTACCCAAAGAGTTAATATGACGAATGTCTGTATCGAATAATTATGCATGAAGAAAAAAAGCAGCTGAATAAACTGATCGTCTTACAGAATTATTTTGTAATATATTAACTAGATAATTATTATGTTCTGTCTTCATTGATTTGATTGTGCCATGGAATGCTTGTTGTCAATGACTATACTGATTCCAACATATAACTATGAAATAGATGAGTAAAGATTAGTGTTACTGTGTTATTTCGTAATGGGTAAGTTGAATGTTGTATACTTTGGTCAGCTATTACATTGTGTACATAGATTTTGTGATAAATTATGAGAAAAGTTGTCTGAATGTATTTGTTTTTAATGCATGAACTAAACAATCAGCTTGTTCAACGCTTATACAGCTTTTTCGAAGATTCAGAATAATAAATGCTTACACTGAATGAAGAGAGTCAATATGAAATCGGTCACAAGAGAAACTGTCTTAGTATATTATTGAAATGAGGAACATTAAAATAGCTTTAAAATTTACCTGATGCTCTAGATATAAATGTTCACAATTTTATTGAGTCATCTTCAAGTATAACGAAATGAAAATAGAATTATTAATACATCGAGATGGTCAAAAATCCAATACATAAGCTCAACGAGTCATATATGACAATACCCTGATTTTTTTTTCAGACATTGATATATTATATTAATTACTGTGTTTGATTGATATTCGTTCTTTCTAAAGTTGATATACAGTATCTCCCTAATTTGTCCTACTGTGCAATGTTTTTTTTTTCTTATCTCTCGATCGTCAACATGTGTTTTCTTAACAAAAAGTGACCACCATTAAGAATAGTATGCACAATTTCTTTCGAAGTCTTACAAAATAAAATACATTTTATTCTTTTCAAATGTTCATCGAAATTCAATTAAATATTTCTTTTCTTATTATCGAGCATGACGTCTTGAAGGCAAACAACAAGCAATAAAATACGATAACTACGCTAAACCACCTGTTAACCCTTCAAAAAGATTTGCAATTCGAATTGTTAAATCATCTTGTGATTACCAAATTCAAAACCTATTTTCAAGATGAATTAATGTTTTAGTTATTACAATGTCAAATTAAACAAAAAATATTTATCGAATATTTTATCAATTGTTTAAGATCTTAATCGTTTTTTTTTAGTAAATACAATTTCCATTACTTTTTTTTCCTGTCTAATAATCATGTTTTTTAATCCTAATTCAGACTTGATTATTCTAATCTTGATTTAGACATTCTGATAAAAAAAAAAAATTTTTTTTTTGTCTAAAGATATAATCAATTATTAATATTAAAACCGGATCAAATATAATTAAATCGATTTTTCCTGTCAATTTCAATCTAAGAAAAAGAGAAGATCACTTCCGGGTGAACGCCTTTTGACAATTGTTTAACTCATTCAATTGAAATAGCAGATGCCATATCGTTAACAGATATATATATATATATATATATATTTATATAGATATAGATTTTTATTTCTTATATGACAAAACAAAAAAGAAAGGAAAAAAAGAGAAGAAGAAAAGGTTTGCCAATTGAAATTTTTACGAATAATTCATTTGCTTTACAAAAAAAAAAAAAAAAAAAAAAAAAAAACAAAACCTTTTCTCTAGTCAAAATAAAAATAGTTTTCTATTACTGTGGAAATATTGAATATTGATTGGATACTTGAGTTGCATTAATATTAAAAGCAGGCGTTGTTGTTGATGCTGGTGTTGTTGTTGTTGTTGTGGTTGTTGTTGAAACTGTTCCATTTGGAATTGTATTATTTGTTAACAACATATCTCGTATAAGTGATTCAATTGGTGTTTTACCAACCAAACGTACAAAAAAAATTTCTTTTATAACATGTGCACTAACTAATTTTAATGATGGTAAACGAAGAAGTAATTTACCAAAACGATTCATATGTGACGGATATTGACTTTTAATATATTCTTCTAATGCAAGAACTGATTTTTCTTGTAAATTATCAATATGTCCTGGATCAGATAAACCCGGTGCATCTCAAATAAAACAAGAAAAAAACAAATCATTTTTTGTTGTTGATTTTTCTTTTTTATAAAAATTTTTTGTCTACCTGGCGTAAAAAGAATAATTGCTTTTAAACATGAATATTCTGCATGATCTAAATGCATTACTTTAAATTTTTCTACTTGTTCTTGAAATTTTCTTGTTTGATCTAAATATGTTTGAACTTTATCTGTATCAATTGTATTTGTATGTATACCATTTAATATTAATAATTGTGTGGCTTGTATAGGAATATTACATTGACTTGCATTTAATAAAAATAATTCATTCCATGTTACTTGTAATAATAAACATTGATCATTTAATGTTAATTCTCGAAAAAAAGGTATATTACGTGCCCATTCAACAGCACCAAATAGAAGACTTGCTGCTAATTCACATGCATTATCCATTGATATTATATTTGAATTATTATCTGATGATATTGATGAATTTGAATTTGATGAACTACCTGCTGCTGGTGTTGATGATGATGATGATTGTTGTAAACGATTTGAGATAAATGAATATGGTTCAGCACGAACTAAATGTGAGATATAATTATTTAAATAATTATGTGCATCAGGTGGAAATGTAAAATGTCCATAAGTATTTGCTACGGATGGAACACGACCACGTTGAACAGCTTTTTAAAGAAGAATATATATATATATATTGAAATAAAGATAATCGATTTTTTTTTACCTTCACGCCTCATGCCCATTTTTAAACAACGAGAAAATCGACAATATTGACATTGATTACGATGATGAGTATCAATAGGACATTTTCGACTAGCAAAAAAAAAAACCTTATTACTCAAATTGCGATGAATAAAAACTAGTATGACTTTCTTTTAGAAACCTAAACAATGTGTGAAACTATAATGACTTCTTCAATTATATTAGACAAAATACGATGACTATCGAGAAATTTAAAATATTTTGTTGCTTAACTATTATAACTTTAAATATATTATCATTTATAAACAGAAATTTATTTTATTCAACTTTAATTTTCTCTATTAAATTTAATGAAATTAAACTTACTTTCCACGACATGTATAATTAAGATTACGTCTAACTGAACGTTTAAAAAATGATTTACAACCTTCACATGTATATTGTCCATAATGTTTTCCACTTGATTTATCTCCACATACAACACATTCAACTGTTTGTTTATCATTTATTATTGATGAATGTGTATCTGTATGTTGATCATCAATAATTGTTTCATTATTACCATTTGTTATTATATTATTTGGTTCTAATTTTGGTTGAATATGTGATGATATACTATTATAATGATTATTAGTTGTTTCATTTGAAAATGTTGGACGACAATGATGATGATGATGTTGTTGTTGATGTTGTTGTTGTTGTTGTTGTTGTTGTTGTTGAGAATCAATTGAAAGAAATCGTGTATTATTTTCTGCTGTTGACCATGATGGTGGAATATATTGTTGTTGATGATGATGATTCATTAATGTCATCGGTGAGCCAAATGCAAACGCTAGCAAAAAGAACAATAGCAGAAAACGACATATAAATTTTATTTTCTCCAATGAATAAAATATCTTATTAGAAAAAAAAAATAAAACGACCAATCAAGCAACATTTTAGCAAAAATAGACAATATAAAACGAACGAATGAAATATGGAAAAAGAAAAGAAGAATAATATCACATATGCACAATTAGATATTTCATGCTGATCTTTTCAAAACACATGTCAACTTATTAAATTTTTTTATATCAATACAATAATAGATACTCGAATATACATGAACGAATACATTTCCCTAATCTAACTCAAGCGAACCATGTGTCGAGTGCGACAATAGAGTCAAATACTTTCAGGTGGAATATATATATATATAGTTAATGTCACACATCGTTGATCGATGCAATGTCTTTTCTTTTTTTTTTTTTTATAACATATGCTATCAATGATCCGATTGATTTTAAAAACGTGACATTTTTCACTTCTTGTACTCAATTCAATCTTAGAAGACCTTTCAAAAAAAGAAAATTTTTTTCTTTTTTTTTTTTTGTACTTACAATCCATTGTATTATATGAATGTATTCATACTCGGACAAATCATTCAATAGCCGATGGTCAAAATAGAAGAAGAATTTTCTTTTTTCCTCGTTCTCTCGAGTAGCACAACACATCGAGTTATCAAACACATATACATAAAGAACATTTGAGTCTCGTTAACTATATAGCTTCATATGACCTTGTATCAGAACGGATATTTGGTATTCACCATAAGCGGACATAGTTTAAATCCGACCTTTTATTTGGTCATTATTAATAATAACAAAAGAAATTGTCTTCAAGGTAAAAAAAATATACTCACTAAATACGAAAGTTGGGTGACGAAAAGAAAAAAACCGATAACAAGGAAAAGAATGACAATATACTGTCAGTCATAGGATACGAAAAAAAAAAAGGAAAGGTTAAGCAAATGTGACAACAACAAAGAAGGAAAAGAACACACAAAAAAAAAGGTCTTCATGCGTCGAGACAATGAATGAAGAAGACATCGAAATGTGTGTGTAACCTTCGCGACGCGTCTTCTTTTTTTTTTTTTTTTTAAAGTTTTTTTCAAGGTGTATTGACAACAAGACCTTTATCTCATTTCTGAACTCTTTTACATAACTAAGGAGAAAAAAGAAAGAGCCTGATCATCATCTCTTATAGCATACACTTATTACCACAATGACCTGAACTACATTCCTGACAGAACATTATTTCGTCGAGAAACAAAGAAAAAAACACGATGAAGGAATTCATTTATTGCATGTGATAAGAATTTGTCGGTCTAGATCTACATGTATGTGTATATGCGTTCAATTTAATTTTTAAAATGAAAATACAAACAAAAAAAAAATTTTCTTTCCTTTTTTTTTGATTTTCATCGCTCTCCCTTTGACTTTTTCTTCTATTCAATGATCTCAATTCGAGACAATCAATATACACACGCGCATATGTGTATATACAGTTATATAATCAATTCATACCAAAATATGATCTATACAAGGCTGGCCAAGTTGAAGGTGGTGGTAATAGTGTTGAGGTCTTGTCTGATAGTGTCGGGTCGTTGGACTCCATGGATGACTTCTCGTTTCTTTTCTTGTTTTGCTATTAAATCTTTTAAGCAATGTCTATATTGAACAACATTCTCTTGATTTTTTTTCTAGTTTTTTTTTTTTTATGTTAGCTATTGCTACATTGTTAGCAAAGATTTTTCTTTTTCTTTTTTTGATTCATTGTTACGAGCAAAAGAAACGACTAACTACTGCCAATGAAAATGCGTCTTTGATTGAAAAGAATTGACGAGAGAACATAAGCGAACGACTTCTCTAACAACATTATTTCAATTGCTGCTAAGAAAATGAGAAAGAAAAAGAAGGAGAAGAAGTTTAGAGAGCACTATGATGATGATGATGACGGAAAAATAGGGTGGAGACACACATATATGCGCAGTCAGATGTTAACTAAAGTGACAGAAATCAAATAGACATACTACAATACTATCAGCCAACGGGCGAATGGGAGAGGTCTCTATAGAATTGTTGCGAAAGTGGTTAAATCAATTGTTCGTATGATCGATGTAGTAACAAAAGATAATCGAGGCGCGAGAACAAGTACTTACGATCCATGTCGATCTTTCCGGTTGTCTCTGTTCAAATCAAAATCAATATGATCAAAAAGGTACAATAATACACATGCTCTTGATTTGCAAATATTAATTACGATGAGAACGACAAATCGGCTTTATATAAGAGTCGAATAGTCGGATCACTTGACGTTTTCTCTCTCGTTTTCTTTCTCTGTTAAAATATTCTTTACACACACATGAACAGGGTCATATTAGTGGGTGGACTAAAAGCAATTGTATATATGAATATGAGAAAGAGTAGAAAAGAATTAATTTTCTTCGAGATATCGAATAGAATGAAACATTTTCTTTTTTTTTTTTTTGGTTGCTTATTTGTTCAAATAGAGATAAAGACGTGTTGGAACAGAAAAAAAATGAAAGATGAACAATGAATATGATGAACATTGACGTCAATTGAATCATGATTGAAATTGTCTGTGTTTAGTTAGGTTGATAAGATAGATGAATTTTATTGACGAAGTTATTCGTAGAAAAATTCTTAGACATATTTTATGTTCGTATTTATGTATAAAGAAGGACACAAGTTGTTTTTTTGTTTTTTTCTCTCAAAAGAATGGTAATTAGGAAACATATGAGTTCATTGGTCAAAGTGATTCTCATCATCATTGTCTTGATATGATAGAAGTATATATAATACTCAAGCAGATTGTTGATGTTATTGTAGCGAGTAAAAAAAAAATGAATATTTAAAATATGTAGATCAAGTTATGGAAGCTTTCATCGAGAAGTGCAATACAATCAATAAAGCTTTCCTAGTAATAGAAAATACAACATGCATAAACTTTAACATAAACAAAAAATTTATTTATCATGGAATTTATGAAACATTGTATTATTATTAATAATTGTAGGTTAAGTATGCAATGATTGTTATAGAAACAACAGTAAATATCTTTGGTCCGAAATCATAATAATCCTTGACGTTTTGTGATTTACTATTTAAAGTAATTTGAATGACAGAAAATAATAATGATCACACATAAGAAAACTCAACATTTTCAGAAGCACATATGGTACGACAAGCAAAATCATCAGAATAATACGAGTGTTTTAGTACGATGCTTCAAGTATATCAATAAATAAACCCTTCAAAAACAAACGCTTGCTAAGTAACTGTAAGAATTTTATTCGGGAGTGTTGTATACTAGAAATCAGAACTACTGTCTAACCTCTCTATAGTGAACAACCTTTGGACTTTTCAAAATTATTGTCTATAAGAAGGTTAGGTCTTTTCTAAAAGCAATTTTATTTTTTAAGAAATAGACAGGTTTTCTAAGTATCTGAAGCATGTTAATGAATAAAAAAGTTAATTACCACTCATTGTTACTTGTCTTTTCATGCATTTTTATCCTTCGCAAATTAACAATGATTAAAATACAGTCAAATTTCTCTCTATTTTGTACACCATTGGGGATTTTTCAAAAATGTTCCTATAGATAGGTTCAATTCCAGCAAGAGTCATTTCGTTGGGTCGCGAAGAGTTCACTATCGAAGGTTTTACTGTAATTAATATCATGAAAATTTTATATACCTTTGAGTTTTGAAGTGTTCTATTTCCTTCTATTAAAAAAAAAATAAACTTTCAGCTGCTTCAGACTAGCCAATGTTTTCTTTCCGATAAATAATTTTCATATACATATATACGCATTTTCCATGATGGTTTTTTTTTGTCATCAATTGAATTATCATTCTATTGACTATTCTTTCCTAATAGGAAAGATGCTATTCGAGAAGAAATATTAAACATATCGGAAATCTTTTCAAAACAAGTGTCAAAGATTGTGAAAATCAACGTATGATTGATCAATAAAATAAAACATAATGAATAAAAACCTTATTCTATACTATTTTATTGGCTTTTAAATATTTAAAAACTATAATGAATGTTTTTTAGAAAATTTTTCTAAAAATATTTTAATTTCTTTAACAATAGCCGACTTTTTTGCTTCAACTATATTTGTATGTACGATTGGTTTATTTGGTAATTTAATCAATTCATGATGCATTGGTGAAATTGATTTTAATGATTGTAAATCTTTCAATAATATTGATATATCATTTGATGATAATAATTGTTCATTATTACCAATTGCTTTTAATATTGTCTGAGGAAATTTTCCATAATGTGCCGTAGCTGAGATTAGCATGGGTATATTATCTTGTTTTGAAAATTTTTCAGCAACATGTACAGCAACAGCTGTATGTGGATCGATTAATTGTTGTGTTTTATCATAAACTTTTTTTATCATTTCAATACATTCATTTTCATTTGTCCAATCACCTTGAATTTCTGATTGAATTTGTTTTAATAAATTTGAATTAATATCAAAATAACGATCATTTGAAAGTTTATTAAATAATTGTTGAATCAATAAATAATTTCCATTTGATAATAAATAAATAAATCGTTCAAGATTTGAACTAATTAATATATCAATACTTGGACTAATAGTCTTTTGAAATGATCTATTACGAAGATCATATGATCCTGTTTGAATAAAATCAGCAATAACATTATTTTCATTCGATGCTGTTATTAAATGTCGAACAGGTAAACCTAATTGTCGAGCATAAATAGCACCAAGCATATTACCAAAATTACCTGTTGGAATACAAATATCAACTAATTCACCTAACTTAATTACACCTTGTTCAATAAGTTGTAAATAAGAATTAATAGTAAATACCACTTGAGGTAAAAATCGTGCCCAATTAATACTATTAGCTGATGAAAGATGTAGATCAGGTAAAAATTGATTAATATCAGAAAGAAATTTTTTATCATTAAAAAGATCTTTAACCATTGTTTGACTAAAATTTATTATGAATAAATAATAATAATGATAAAAATTCAAAAAAAAGAAGAAATTATTTACCAAAAATCAAAATCAGCATCAACACCTAAAATACAAACATCACCTGATGCTGTTTGCATTTGTGCTTTTTGTATAGTAGATACACCAGTATTTGGATAAAGAACAATAACAGGTGTACCAGGTAATCGTGCAAAAGCATCAAGTACTGCACAACCTGTATCACCCGAAGTAGCAACAAGAAGACCTAAACGATTTGATTTATTATTATCTTTTGATGTTAATTCTGTTGATGCTTGCATTAAAAGAGGTAACAATTGAAGACTTAAATCTTTAAATGATGCTGTTGGTCCATGAAAAGTTTCCATTAAATATTGATTTTTCCATAGATGACGAACCGGTAACACTTGTTCATTAAATGTTGAATAAGCTTGCCAAAGTAAAGAACGTAAATGAGATGGATGAAGTGTACCGAGTGAAAATCGTTCCATAATACGTAAAGCTATTTCAGGATATGATAAACCAATTAAACGTTGTAATTCACCAAGAGATAATCGATTGAATGAGCGAGTCACTGTATATAAATTAAATAAATTATATTAATTGTTTTTTTTTCAGAATTCTTCTTACCAAAAAGTCCACCATCAGGTGCAAGTCCTTGTTGAACAACATCAAGAAATTGTTGATTTTTCTTAGGATAACCACTTCGAGTACTTTCATAAAATGTTGATTGTTGTTCAAGTTGATTTAAAACTTTTTTTGCTATATCATTCTGTGTTTCGTTTTTACCGATAATAATCCTTATATCATATGATTTTTCATAAATATGTTCACGCCATGCAAGTATATCATTCAATGTTTTTGTTCGTTGTCCAACAATACGATCAACACGCATCATTTCACAACGATTTAAAATTGTTTCACGTGATGCATCCAAATAGACAAATATACCAAGTCGAGAAAGATGTTCCATGGATTGAGTATGTAATGGATTTGAACCCGTTAATGATATAATATGATTTTGATGATTCATTGCTAATAATTCACGACCTTCAGCTTCAAGAAATTGTTCATCACCAAGCTCAGTTAATTTTGATGCTACACTTTTTTGCCATCGTGGTTCAAGCCAATTATCATCGATATCGATAAGAGATCTGTTCATTAGACGAGCTAATTCACGTCCAACACTTGTTTTACCACTACCTGGAGGTCCCCTGCAATAAATGATAACTCTTAGATATATATTCATTTTATTTGTAAAAAGAAACTAACATAAGAAAAATATTACGTTTTTCAAAGGTACTTGTACCGGATAACAATGGTCGATGAAGTCCATTTTGATACCATTTTGCTTTTTGATCTTCTGTTGAATTATGATAAACAGTTTTTACTTCATTCGAACTTGATAATTGTCGAATAGCAACCCGTAGAAGTCGAATAGGATTTTGACAATAATATAAACGACCCTGCATGGTTCGTTTATGAAAGATAAAAGATTCTAAAAGAACAGTTCATGATATGCATAGATGAATAAAAAATGAAATAGGTTGGATCAGTTTCTATTTATTCTATGGGTATGTTTTTACCGCGCGGTTTATTTTATTATTTGATTTACCTATAGATGCGATTTAAAGGATCATCATATGTCTTTATTCTTTTCTTCGATAAATGATACATATGCCCCTGAGAGAGATATATAAGACAGAATAGAAAGAAGAAAGATATGTAGGCGTATCTTGATGAGTAAGAAGGTCAAAAAATGAATATAAGTAAGATGAAAATAACTGCGTTTGTTCATTTTACCATTCTCGATTTCATTTTAACCAACGAATAAAGCATGTGTCTACCGGTAAGAGAAACAAATTTATGATTGAGATTCTTTGTTTTTTTAATAAAAATAACTTTAGTTGTGTTGTGATTGTGGTCCTGTCGATTGTATTGTCTGTATTCCACTTGATTGCTGTTGTCCTGGTCGTGATGGTCGGTAAGTTAATTGTATATTTTGCTTATTTCTTCTGTTAGAATTGGTATTTTCAAAAGATACATACATATAAATTTTTAGAGTGATCACATCACAACCGCGCAAACGTTTAAATCGAACTACTAAAATTAATTGATGAAGTACTGAAGTTGCTACATTGAACTACTACTTATCAATTTTTTTTTGTATGTTATTTTTATACCAGCCTATAAATAAACAAGCGTTTTTAAATATGTATAAATGATGCCTATCGATTTCTTATGGATCATTCGGAAAAATACAGAACGAAAGCGCATAATTTTTGTTATTTTTGATAAAATTGTTTAATAAGACTTAGATCGTATGACGTTCGAATAAATTTTCTTTCTATTGTATGAATTGGCGAACAGTAACTATTCTTTGTTACTCTAAAAGAAAATTGTCTTTTGACGACTACTTACTACTAATGAGAAGAAGAAACTTACGAGAATATTCCACACTTGCGAAAATTTATATTACTTATGAGATAATGAAATAAAATTTACAGAAATTCACTTATTGTAGACCAACAGACGTATGATCTTTGGGCAAGGTTTCTTTCAGAAAACTGTATTTAGTTTATTTGATTGTATGAGAACTTCTCATGTTGTCTGTATCCAGTCGTTAACCAAATAGATTGGATCGAATGGTAATAACTCCGATGTATAGAGAATAAATTTAAAAACAAACTGATATTTTCCTGTGTAGTTAGCGTTTTTTTTCACAATGAATCATGCAATTTCTTCCGTTGTATTTTATTTTTATGTATTTTATTGTATTGCTTATCATGATCGGATCAATTAAAATGCTGTTTGAATCTATATTCTGTTGACATGAAATATTCTTCTCAATCAATATTAATGAGTGATCGGAAAGTTTTTAGATAAGATGTTTGTTCATTTTTGACCCGCTAGAAAATATTTCGAACGAGTCAAAAGCTATGAGTTAAGATGCTCTTTTCGAATATAGACTTATAAAGTTAGGTCTCAGTTTTTGTTAGAGAGTAGGGAAATGATCTTTGAAAAGTTTAAAAAATTAATTTGAATGGAACTTGTGGGTCGACATTTCGGATGAACATGTCCGTTGATTTTTGCCTGCTTGAAAGCATTTCAGAGGAGACAAAAAACTATAGATCGTCACTAGAATTTGAATATAAACTTCGAAATGTTGCATTTATTTTTGCTCAAGACTACTGGAGAACTTTTTGAAAGACCTAAAAAATTATTTTGAATAGTGAATCAACATGTTTTAGCTTACTCTATGAGTTCCTTTTGGAACATGTTAAAAATTATTGGAGTAGGTCGTTTTTTAGAGGAAACATTTCTCTACAAAATGTAATATTGAATTAAGCTGCAGCTATTTCCTAAACGAGGCTACGAGCATTTTTTTTTCAAGAGCTTGTTTCAACGTAAAAAGGCTGTCGAAAGATAAAAAGTTTTAAATAGTGTATTTCGTAGGATAGCTTCTAATCTATGAGTTAATATATAAATAAAGATTCCAACTGTTAGTTTCGCATCGCAATAATGAAAATACAAACCTGGGCAGAAAAATTTTTCGTCAACACGCATTTTTTGAGTCTTTCAAAGATTACTTCACTACTCTTGAGAACAAAAGTTGAGATAAAGTTTCTAAGACCATATTCGAAAAGTGCACAATATGCTGGTACTAATCCATAGCTTGTGACATTTCGGAAACACTTTTCATGGAGCCAAAAATAAGCAAATGTTTTGTCTAAAAACGTCGGTCCTGCCCATGAAATGCAGTCACTGTTCGTAAAAGTCATTTATAATTAAAATAAACATTTACGAGATTAATTTGCACTTGATTTATATGTTGAATTTTCCATAAAATATTCTTTATATGTTGTAAAATAAATATTGAAACTCTTTAAAAAGTATTCCGCATACTCGAATATTTGGTTCATTAAGTAAAAATTATAATATTTCATCGGCTTACTCTAGATTGTCTGATGTGTCATGCTTTATTCAATTTGTGTAGTTTTCACATTGTAAGAATTAGTAACTTTCTCGATTATTCTCCTGAAATTCTGCGAAAAAAAAACCAACATAAAGTTTGATAACAAAAAACAAGTGTAAGCTTGTATAACCAAAGTAAAGACATGTTAACACAGGAAGAAAAGAACACGTTCTTTCGTTTTCACATTGTTTTGGCCTACAAAAAATAAGTCAACACCCCATTTTTTCTCTTAAGTAATTGCACAATGAAATGAAAGAGAAAAACTAACATATTGACAATTTAATGATTTACATCAATGTCTGCCTTGTCCTTACATATCTTACCCACAGAACTTTTACATCGAATTATTGATTATAGTGATACAGAAACCGTATTTTTTTCTTTTCGAAATGTTTGTAAACGTTTTCAAACAATTCTTAATGATTACAATCAATATCAACTCGATTTTCGTTTAATGACAAAATCAAAATTTTGTCTTATACGTCGTTTCATTCAACCTGACAAAGTTATTTCTCTTGTTATATCTAATGGACATAAAACAACTGGTCAAATTAAATTATTTCTTTCATTGTATGATATATCTTTATTTACTAGACTTCGTTCGTTAACTCTTATTCAAGTTAGTGACCTAGACGCCGTTGAATATTTAAAACATGTTAGTACATGTTCATTGATCTCGCTATCTGTTGATTATGGAGATATGCAGAGGTCAATCGCTGAAACGAATGAATTTCTCTCATCAAGTCTAAAAAAACTTAATATTCTTCGAAAGCTCGATTTATCTATAAATCATTTAATGGTTGATAGCATACAATGTCCAATACAACATATAACACTTACTCGGTGTACTCTTAAGAAACCAATTTCTGATATTCTTCTTCATTTTTTTCATTTAAAAACATTAATATTAAATGGTGTTTCTATGCCCAATATTGACGAAAATTTGGTTACTACTACGCAAATAGAATCAAAACTAAAATCATTGACCATTACAGGCTATTCTTTGTCTATGAATATGATTATATCAATTTTGTCATTCACACCATTATTAAGTCATCTTAAACTAATAGCATGGCCAACGATGCCTGAACGTTCTTGGAATGGTCATTGGTGGGCAGAATTCATTGAAAAGAATCTAAGTCAACTTAAACTATTTGAGTTTTTCTTTGACAAGCTGATAGATTGTAACGAAAATACTCGTGATATTGAATCTATCATGATTCCCTTTCGAATATCATTCTGGCTAGAAAAGCAATGGTATGTTGCATGTAATTATTATGAAAATATACGTAAACTAGAACTGTATTCAATTCCAATATGTAAATCAAATATTTCATATAACTGTTCGACAAACAAAATTTCTTCTTCAAATTTAATAAATGATCCACCATATATAATGGATAATGTACGTTCATTAAGTCTAGGTTTAATTCCATCAACTGCTATTACTTGTGATAACGTATGATTTTCTTTTTGTTTCTACTCCTATTCTAGATCCATGAGTCTTATTCAGATCGAGTCTACATTTCATTATGTATTTCTCGAATGTTTTTAATTTTTTGAAAAATTCTTTGAGACACAAAGTTTTTTATGAAACATAATTTACCAAGAAGGTTGAAATATACAGTTACTAATTTGTACCTTTACATTTCTCCTCTCAGAACGTGACGGACCGTAGATCAGTAAAGTCACATTGTAATATATGAACTATTTCCTTAGTGTGTATTCCTGGCAAGTTTAATGAAAGCATCGTACAATGTGTCCTAAAAAAGATAGAGTAAAACAATTTCTTTGTGATTGGTAAAAACAATTTCTTTGTGATTGGTAAAAACAACTACATTGTGTTTCATATTTTAATGCTGCAGAGATTTTGCTAATGGCTTTCCTTATAAAGAACTCGTCATAATTCAAATCAGTGTGTTCTGAGAAATTCCTTTTATTTCGAATAAAGTACGTGTTTTTACGCTAATGTTCTTTGCATAAATATAAAAAAGTCTTTTTATTTTTCTTTTGTTTAGAATTTACTAACAAATCGTCCTTTATTTTCAAGCGTAACTAAACTGACACTCGTGATTACTAATGAGTTTTCGAATGGTTTTATTGATTACCTATTGCGACTTATCAATTTTCCGCATCTTTACACACTTTCGTTGACTTTAGACTTAAATCAACAATCATTTCAGAATATTATAACAAGTATCAATAAATTATTAAATGAAGCATGTAATATTCAATCAATTAAATTACGTTCTGCAAAACCTGCTTATTTAATCGAATACTTACAAACAATACGTCCAATGTTATCTAATCAAGTAAAACATCTTACAGTCTACATAGAAAATGTAGCGAAAATGCAATTAATTCTTAATCAATTTGAAAATTTCTCAAGTATGACATTTCATTCAAACACAAGTTGGTTATCAGAATTCGATAATATAATTGAAGAGCTAACAAGTAAAGGAAGAGATTTTATATATTATAAGAATTCCATGTGTGCAAGCTTTTGGTTTGGTTAATAAAAGATAAATCATCGAAAACTTGTTAACATGTCGAGGAACTTTTTTATAAAAACATAAACGTAGGACATTACTCGTAATGCAAGATAAAATTTGCATCTTTTGTTTGTTAATTGTCAAAGAAGAAAACTTGCGAAACATTTTCTAAAAATTGAACAATAAGCAACAATATCTCATACCATCTTTACAAGTGTTACTGGTCGAACTTCTCTTAAAAAAAAATTATGAAGAATATTGATAAAAAAATGGTTTTTGTTCATTCTTTCGTTGTGTATGGAAACATTTAAATACTTTTGTTAACATTTAATAAATATTGAAATAAGATTTTCAGAAAGTTTGTTTTATGATTTATTCTCGAATGAACGTTATGTCACCTATGCTAACTGATGATGACACAAAAGTCGGTCGGTTTGGATTATTTTTTATGTTTCTTGATATAGCTACATAAATTTTATTGTTTTCGATCATTGGTTCTCTTGAAAACGAATAATTAAGAGTTAGATATATTTTTGATACATATTATCACTTGTTTATTTGTTGCATTATTGATGGAATCTCGAACATTTAACAAACTAAAGAATACAACATTAGAATAACTCATGTCAACTATTTCAAAAATTAAGAGTCTTTCTAAGTGTGTGTTTTGAAAATTAGTGATTGAACTTTACAATATCCACACTAATTGTGTCAACCCTTGACGAAATGTTTACTAATTTCCATATAAAAAATAAAGAATAAGCCATTACAATTCCTTCTAAATGCTCATGATTCTTGAAAATTGCTAATATTTAAACAAAATTATATGCTGATGAATATGTTTAAAACATAATGTCCATTGACCTGATTATCTGCTTATTAACAAATAACAGAATGAACACGTTCACATTATGATTCTTTTTTATGACGATTCAAAGTGGAAACAGATTTATTGAAATAGCATTATCTCATCTTCAAAATTATGATTTTTTCTCTTTCGTCATTTTGAAATGCAAACAAACTACCCATGATGTAAATTCAATAATTAGTTTATATAGAATATCATTCCGACTAGAAGTAAAGTATGGATTTGTTATTTACGATAATGTTGAGGTTTAAAATTTATTAGAATTTTATTTAATATCAATTCGTCAATCGTTTTTAATACCATTCTCAATTGAATAACATTTCTTATTTGAGTTTGACTATAACAAATATTGATAGAGTATCGATGACAAATAATATTTCATATTTATATGTAGATTCAACATCAACACTATAAGTGATAATTTAAAAAATGTATTAAATATAATAGAAGAATTTGTTTATTACCAATAGAATTTTCTCTAAATTTGTAGATTTACTACAAGAAGAACAACAAATAAAAATAAAAATAAAAATATAAACAAATTCAATTCGAATATCAAATTTAGATATAATATTATATCAATATCGAACATCATTTTGTGTATAACACAAACAGTGACATGTTGATCACGATAGGTGTTTGTTTTATACCTATTCGGTCTTGATCAATAAGAACTGTGTTTCTTATGATACACTATTGAATTTTAATCAATTTTATTAGATCACTAAAGATAAAAAAACAGTTGATAGAAGCTTGTCAAGTTCCATTGTCAAAAGGCTTATAAATGAACAAAAAAAAACACTAAAAAACATGCCATTTTGGATTTAAATGCAAAACCACTCATTCACTCCACTTAAATGGTTAATGTCAAGAAAGAATTATATAGTTGACGAAATAATATAGCGCCATGATGTAATCTACATTTACAAAATGTAACTTATTTTGAATTCATTCATTTATTAGCTCTAAGATTTTTCTCTTTCCATTTATTGATAATATTAGTAGAATTGCAGTTTGAAATTTCATAATAATATCTGTCTGCTGCTTCATTGTATTGAAACGAAGTTTTAAAATCACATGTTTTACAAGTAAAAATACTAACACTATAAGCATCACCATGATGTCGCACGCCACAACTGAAATAAAATTTAATTTGAATTTAATAAATTTCGCAGGATAAAAAAAAGCTTTATACCAATCTAATATATTTTCGATTGATTTAGCTTCACTTCGTGGACATGTCTCCATTCCCAAGGCCCGAAATACGTGCTTTTCAAATCCTTGTTCATCAACACTATATTGTTCTTTAGAATCACACATCTTTATTTGAATAAATATCTACAAAAAATAAACAACATAAATATACGTATACATAATTTTTTTTTAATTTTATTCCTCAGAACATTTATTATTGAACAATTAAATGTATGTCAAAAAAAACTTGTTGTTGTTCTGTTTTTCGTGAATGTCTCAAATTTGAATATTGACAGAAGAAGAATAACATGAACAATGATGTAGTAACATGTTGTTTGAGTTTAGTTGTATAAAGCGATGTAATATATGTTCCTCTATAACATAACAAATAATAATTCATAATATGAGACAATGTAACGCTTTCGATGACCTTCATCATTTTACTAAAAACTGGAATCAACGTATTTTATGATTCAATGTTTTTACTTGCAATTAGTGAAACAAGTACCTTGAAATCTTCTTACATAAAAAAATACATTGATAACTAGAATATATGAATTTGATATATTTATTCATAAAGCAACTCTTAAAATCTAGATACATTTCTTATAGTTAATAGTTCTAATATAAATTAATGTATGAAACATCTTTTTTTCAATAGCAATTTAACGCATCAATTATGTTTCAGAACAGAATATCATTTTCACGTGACATTTAATAAATGAAAAACATGAAAATTATTTAATACGTATTGTTCGTTGATGTCTGCATGTATGTCTTACAGAAGGAATTAAAATGTAGGGCGGTTTCAAATTCTCTAATTTGAAATCAAACACAAACTCCTATCTTCGCAAAAAATTGCGTCATCTTTCCAAATGTTTGCTGCTTTAGAACACCACTGCAAACTACTAGTGGAAAAAATCTTTCCTATATTATGTACGATGGTTAAGAAACGACTAACATTTACAAGCTTTTTTATCGGAAGATGACCCGAATTATATCCATTGATTACGATGTATGAAGAATTGAAGTAAACATGATAAAGATCGAAGTTTTTATTTTCGGAGAAGCGTTAGTTTTATTGCAACGTTTTCGTTTGTTTGAATGCATGCTTTGCTTTAGCTGTCTTAGTCGTATGTTTATGATTGTATAATCATGCTTTTTAGAGATAGAACTATTAATGAGGACGTCAATGATGAAACAAATGTTATTTGATATCATCTATAGTTAATCCTTTGCTTCTTTCTGTTATTTTCAAGTTATTGAATCAAAATTACGTAAATCCATTAAGAATATTTCTTTTTTTTGTTCCAAACATCCATAACAGCTGAATCAATATTTTGTTCCCTTTCAAATATATATGTAAAAGTTTAGACTAATAAAAAAGAAAAAGAACAATCCCAATGTTTTTAAGAGAAGCTTCAATCACCATCATTGGAAATACATATTAATAATATAAAATTGTCAAAAGAATGAAACAAACAATAACATAAAAAGTAGATCATAAGAATTCTGCCATTAATGATATATTAAATGTTGAATACTTCAAAAAAACAAAGTTAACTATGAAAACTTTATTTATCAAAAATACAGATACGAGAATTAATTGAATTTATCTATGCGGAGAAATACAATAATTATTTTAGATGAGGAATATTATTCCTTGATGTCATTTTTCGTAAACTATAAGAACAAATACGCAGACATGTATAAAATACTAAAAAAAAATTTTTCTTGTGGTCAACAAATTTTCAAAAACATCGTAACGAAGTATCGAAAAGGCAATGGATTTGATAAAACGGAAAATACATATTTATAAGTTTGCGATAGTAATTAAGTCCTTGAAGAATCTTCATAAAGAGAACACCTGGATTCTATGTGACAATTTAAAACTAACTTTATTTTTTTTCCTTTCGTAGAATCAAAAAGGCCAATCCAAACCACCTAGAAGAATATTGTTTTTTGTTCGTAACACGCCTTCATATGCACTCTATTATCATGCAAAACGATTATGAAAACAGTGTGATCTACTTCTATCACCTTGCAATTCATATTTTCTTTGTTGATTAATACCGCACCTGTTTCATCTCTATATATTTTTTTGTTTTCAATTCGAATCACTCCAATCTACCATACCAATGCTGTTGTTGGGTACTTTATTTCTCGTCCTCATCTTTCCTCTTAATAGTATTGTCTATGCATGCAATAAAGATCCGCATGAAGGCGTGCTCGTTGTTGCTGCTGGAAGTTTTCTTTCAGCAAGTAGTGATCAAGGTGTGAATTGGTCACCAGCGGAAAAAAAAGGTCAAATGACATTCAATCAAGCAACTTGTCGATATGAAAAAGTGGTTCGAGGATTACCAGCAAATACAAACTTCGATTGGAAAGTTGCTTTTAATGGAAACTGGGGTGGAGATATAGGATGTAATAATGGTAATAATTGCGTGTTTAATAGTGGTTCTTCTGGTGTTGTTCTTCTCATATATGATCCATTCAATAGACAATTAACGACAACTCCTTTTGATGACCAAACTACAGTTCCAAATGGTTCAACTTCTACATCAACACTAACACCAACATGTTCGAATCCATATCAAAATCGAATAGTTCGAGCATCGGGTGATTATCAAACAGAATTAGGTAGTTCAGCTCCTTGGCTTGCAACAGAAGCAAATAGTTTGATGACATTTGATGCAACATCTTGTCTTTATATACTTACACTCACTGGTTTAACAACAAACAAAGCTTATGAATGGAAAGTCACATTTGATAATTCATGGTCAAATAGTCTTGGTTGTGGAAATGGTGGTAATTGTAAATTTTCTACAAATGCAGCTGGTGCAATTGAACTTGTATTTAATCCTATTTCAAAACAATTATCAAATCGTCCTTTGACAACTGTTTGTGGTAATGAACAATGTGAATTAGGTGAAACATGTCGAACATGTTTAGCTGATTGTGGTCAATGTCCACCAGCTGTATGTGGTGACGGTAAATGTGAAGATGCTGAAACATGTGAATCATGTTCAAATGATTGTGGAAAATGTCCAGTATGTGGTGATGGAACATGTCAATCTAATGAAAATTATCAAACATGTCCACAGGATTGTCCCAATGAATTGGCTGGTTGTGGAATATTTCGAGAAGAAAGTTGTGAAGGTGGTTCTCAATTTCATGCAAATGCAGGTGCTGATGCTAAACGTTGGCAAACACCAAAACCTGGTACAAAAGGTTATCAACCATCATATCAAGATTATCATACACTTGTTGGTTATGCTGATATCATTTATACATCTACAGATCGTCGTACAGCAGATGTTTGCCTTGAAACAAAACATCGTTATGGTGATAGTGTAAAATTAACTTATTTCTTTGATGGTGTTGCTCAAGAAAATAAATGTAAACGTTATACAAGTTCATATACGGGTATCTTACAAGCAGTAGTTACAGGAAGTGATGGTTCAGCATTAGAACTACCAGAAATTGATTTCATTTGGAATGCAAGACCAATTGCTAGTCGATCAGGTGATTATCGTAATGGACAAAAAGGTGCTGTAGCAGAAATGTTTGGATGGCCTCATAATGATGTCAAACAAGAATGTGAATTTCTTAGTAAAGCTGGTTATTTAGGTGTAAAACTTTTTCCAGTTCATGAACAATTATTGTCAACACAACCATTTGAAGATGCAATGAATCCATGGTATTTTATGTAAGTCAATTATTAATTATTTGATTTATTGCATCAAAAAAGAATTTTTATGTTCATTATATTAGGTATCAACCAGTGTCGTATAAATTGGACGGTAGAATGGGTACACGTGAAGAATTACGTGACTTAATTAATACATGCCGTGGATATGGTGTACGAGTTTATATTGATGCAGTACTTAATCATTTTACTGGTGCCGGTAATGATATGAATGAACATCGAAATCCTAATGGTTGTGTGAAATGGGGTAATAAAACAAGTAGTGCACCATCCGAACGACAATCGCCATTTTATACACATGCTTATACTTATCAATATAATCCAAATACAGGTAAAGCTCCATCGAATGAATTTCCTGGTGCTGCTATTGGCCCTGAAGATTTTCATTGTGATCGTGTACTTGGTTCTTGGTCTGATTTATTTATCTTGAATAATGGTTGGCTTGTGGGCCTTACTGATCTTGATACATCAAGAGACAATGTACGTGAACGTCAAGCAGCTTATCTTGTTGATATGTTAAGTTTGGGTGCTAGTGGTTTTCGTATTGATGCAGCTAAACATATGGCACCTGAAGATATTTCTGCAATAATGAAAAAAGTTCAACGAAAAATGGGTGGAAAATTACCCGATGATTTCTTTGTTTGGCTTGAAGTTCTCACAGGTAAAAAACAATATATATATGCCAGTTCTACGTTTTTATTCTTAATTTTGATTATATTTCGATTGTAAAGGTGGAGAAGCTGGTGTTTTATGGCAAGGATCATCATGGTATGGAACTATGTTTGAAAATATTCTTAAGAATGATCTTGGCTCAGATTCAGACGTCAATAAAATTAAAGTACGGCTTTTTTAAATATTTTTCATTGGATTAAATTTTTATTACAATTAGATGTGGGATGGTCTCTATCCAAAGGAACCGCAAAATAATCCATCAGTATCACGTCATCGTGTAGTCATTCAAAATGATGATCATGACCAACAGAATCCAGGTTCAAGTAGTCGTGATATGGCTAATGCTGGTTGTGTTCTTGTTAAAAATTGTCCTGCATCCGAACATCGTAATTTTGAAATTCGTCTTTTTACAAGTCCAAATGGTGCGCAGAACAATAATGATGATTGGCCTATTCGATTTATTCTTTCATCCTATTATCATACTCATGGTGATCTGGGTATTCCAGATGGAAAATCATCATGTGATCTATGTACTGTTACATGCACATCGTGTCGTAAATCAGTACCTTATATAAAAGCACATGATCCAATGGCATGTGCCTATGCAGGTAATGGATATACCCGTACACATCGTGATATAGCTGTTATCAATGCAATGCGCGCATGGATGCATTTAGCACCAATATCAGGAACATCGTTGGGTATCGGACATTGTGGATAAATATGGAAAGAATATAAATCATGTCATCATGTTTTTTTTTGTATTTCTCTACTAAGTAAAGATACATTGATAACAATCTAATAAAGTGTGATGATCTATATATCTTTGAGATAACTTTAGTATTAGCACATATCATTTTTTAATATTAGTTGAGGTTTTTTACCTGAAAATAGATTTTACAATGTCTTAAAATTTAATCAATTAATTCTGGAACAAATCAGTTTTTTGTATTGTGCTCTTTAAAACAAGAAAATCAATGGCTGGCTTCTTTCTTATATATGTTTGAAAAGAAATAAGATGATCAATCATACTATATCTTCAATATCGATTACAAAAGAGTTATGGATGCAACAGTCATTGAAATAGAATATCGACGTTTGTGATATATTGGTAGTATGAATAGATAGGCTGATTTAGTTCGCTGAAAAAACGTCGTAGAAAGCTCGGAAATTTCTTGTTCTAGAGAGAATGATTTGTTCTACCATTTTGTGTGACATGAGCTAATTTTAGGCTGAAGTTATAAGTGCTAAAAACCTAAAACTCTAGTTTCCTAAAAAATTTCTGATGATGGTTCTATGCTTTATCATCTCTTTCATGTCTAGCTTTTGTGAAACTTTTAACTTCTATTGATAAGAGTAGTAGAAATTGTCATCACCATATATCATACAATACATTTCCATTAGAATCTAATTTGTTGGTAGAAAAACATTTTTGTAATAAAAAATACCATTTTTTGCGGTTTTTCAAACTTATCAATTTTGTAACTTATCTTTTCCGAAGGTGGAACAACACAAAACAAAAAATTTTCCTATCAATTGATAGTTTATGGAGTTCACTACAAGGCATGTCCTTGAAGTTTTTTAATTCTATGCGTCCTTTATTTTCTACAATTGCTTCATAAGCGATCACTCGAGTGATTAGGAGAGGATTAATAGTTAAAAGTTTGCTCTTTTATATAAACCAAAATTTGATAACATTAAGAAAAAAATGGAGAGGTAACAAAAACATCGATAAAATTTTCTTAGATGTATTAAATATTGATTTTGATTCAAGTCTGAGATGAGTTCGACAGACTATAATGTGTATGAATAAACTCTTATGAATACATTTCATTATGCTCCTTGATTTTATGTTTGAAAAATAAACCTTGTGAGAATAGCTTTTCTTTTAGTTTAGCAATAAAATACTGAGATATTTGAAAAAATATAGAAAAAAAAGGACATTGAGTGATTATTTAGGTCTCAACAATCCATAAGCAATTGAATTTATGTGGTTCAAGTTTTATTTTCGAGCAAGGGTTGACTAAAAAAAACAAATTTTTGTATAAGCATGTATGTATACATATATATATTCATTGAATTTTTATTCTTTGTTGAAATAATTTTAAAAGTTTCTAAAAGGTCTTTGTATACGTTACGCTTGTCTCGAGCAGGTGTTGACGAAAAGAAATCAGATAAATAAAAATAAAAGATATCAAACTCATGATTTATGATGAAAATCATACAAAAACTATTTAAAAGGTAATTTATAGCTTTTGAACATACGATTATAATAGCAACTGAACATAAGTAAATAGGTTTTCTAAATGATATTAAACATATGGAATACATTCTCGTATTATTATAATTCGAGACCAAAAAAGTAACATTATTTATTGTATTATTCATAAAGGTTCCACAAAAGCATTAAAAGAAAGTCATTGTTTGTTTTTGTCAATAAAATGAAAGAAATAATACAAAATAACATAAAAATTTAACATTTATTATATTAAAATATGATTTTCTTCCATGATCTATCTAATTACCTTATAAAATCTATTTTGAAATATTTGTTTAACTATTATTTATTTTTTCTACAGAAAAATTTTCTTTCTATTCTCTTAATCTATTCTATTTTTTTAAGTACCCCATTCTATATATATTGTTTTCATTATCTCATGCATATCAAACTCCTCTACATTCTCATGGCAACTGTGACCGATATATATGTACATCATTTTTTTCGTTCTATTGAACGAACATCAGCTGATTTTGGTAGCTGATCAACGTATTACTCTCTTTTCAGTAGGCTGAAGAAAGATAAAGCAAATGTTAGAATTGTCGAGTAAATTAATGAAAAAAAAACGTCAGTTATACACTCATTTATTCTTGATTTAGACTATACAGAAATAGATGACCCCCTTCTTCTTGCTGACAGCAACGAATGGCATAAAGTAAGAGAGTATATAAGTAATTGTTAAAAAAAGACTTGATACATGCAAATGAACAAGAAACATTTATTACACATCAAACTAACAGATATACCCGATGAAATGCTTCTATTGATTTTGAAGAAATTGACAATATTGAAGTACTTTATTTTCTAATAGACGTTAGTATACGACTTGGTAAAATCGCAAGTAATCCTCTCTTTACTGAACATTTAACATTAATGACACGTTCGTCGACTGGTCTTATTAATTGATTGGATAATTCGATACTTAATCGCTTTTGTTCAGAAATATTACCTAGAATTCATTGTAAAATCAATTGACTCAGTCTTGAATAATTATGTATGGAACCTATTCTTCTTGCTGCTGACTACCCTAATTTACGAATACTATCTCTTTTGAATATTGAACGTGAAACAATTATACGATTGTTTTGTGGTAACTAGTTTCATTTTGAGTGATTTATTCGTGAAATAGTTTACCTTGAATGAAGATAGATCACACAGCATTCTTCATATAGTTGAGTGAATCGTGGCGTATTATGTATTTCAAACGATTTTTAAATTTACTTATAAATGACAGTGAGATAAATATCAAGAGATCTAATACTATAAACATAATATAAAGATCTTCATCAACAGTAACGAATTTTCGAGCTTAGATTTGCAAAAGAAGGTAGTTTTTTTTCATTTTATATGTTTAGAGAACACTCATTTAGATCGCATCTTCAGCACTTATATTACCACACTAACTATTACAATCGCCAAAAATAAAATGATACTATTCACATCAGATATAATGAGTATATTGTGTACTTATGTCTCGACTAAGTTTAACAATTTAATATGTTTAAAATTTCATCCATATTCTGATTATTATATTGATAGTATTGAACGATTATCATTCGAATCAAGAGAAAATACAAAATTTTTTTCTTCAAGTTTAATGAAATTGTATATCAATGTTGATGACTTTACTAACTGTCTTTATTTGCTTGACGGTCGTTTTAAACAACTTCATACCTTTTATGTTAATGTGCATTACTTGATGCCTCCATCGTCAACGATTATTAACAAGGTAGATAATTTAGTTTAAGGAAACAAGTAACTTTTTTTTTATTTTATTTTTAGGAAGAGTTAATCCATTTGAAATGTTTTTCGATGATTTCTGATTTAGATACAATGTTTTATGAACAATTGATTGTGCCTTTATTGCATCGAATGTCGAATCTATAAGAACAGATCTTGAATCTTTCCATCTATCGTACTGCTTGTTATGAGTCATTTATCAATAGAAATAATTTGAAAAATCATATCATCAGTCATATGCCAAAATTAAATAAATTCGTCTTTAGTATACATTGAAATTTACGTCTTAATGATTTAGATCATTTACCATCAAACGACGACATTCAGCGCACATTTAAAGGTCTTGAAGAATATCAAACTATTACTTATATCGATTATTCGAATCATGATAATGGTTAGTGTCGTATCTATTCACATTCGTATACAATGAATTGTTTATATCGACTGACAAATAGTTTTCCAGGTGGATTATTCAAATTTGTTCACGAAGTGTCACTAATTGACAAACATCGTTTGAATATGAATTTTTCATTAGAATCGCTCAAACATTTCCATTTCTTAAAAACATTGATTCTACACAATCGATCACCACAAAATCACAAACAATATCAACAATCAACCGAAAACTATAATGGTTTGTCAGTCATTGAATATCCTGATCTTACTATACTCAGTCTCTTAGCTGCTCATGATGACTACATTGAACAATTTCTACTTCATACGAAAACCCGTCTATCAAATTATATTAGCCTTCATATTAATTATCATCGTCTTCAAAGATTAACCAACAACTTCACAAGAGACGCGACATGAAATAACTGCGCAAAAGTCAAATATGTATATATATATATATATATATGATATTGCTAAATTGGACGTTCCCAAACATTTTTACCTATATTTTCCTCATGTCGAAAAATTGTGACTTTGTTTAATTAATTGAATAAAATCAGGAAAAATATCTTCAACTTAGATTATTTAAGTTTGTGTAACAGAAACACAATATGACTACTAGCATGTTATTTTAACTTGTGAAGCGCAATGTATCCTGTTGCATAACTAAAAAAAAATGGCAGATAAATACTCTTGTTTCGATACAATAGAAAGCACAAAAAGCAGTCATTACTCAATCATTATAGCCATTTATTTTGATGCATCAAAACAAATTATTTAGTTTATTGATCATGTTGACTTTCATGGTCCAAATCAAAATGATTTGCTAATATACTTAAACTTAAATGCACATGTTTTGATCTATGCATATATCAACGAGACAAAAGAAAGAGTAATAATACAGCATCAGATACTGTTCGTTGAATTTTATTTCTTTTATATTATCATCATCTAAAATAATCATATCGAATAGTATACAGCAAAAAAATACTAGGACATCTAATCAATGCTCCTTAAAACAAAATATATGTGTTAATCAATTTGGTACAGGATGAGTATAAATTATTTTTGCTTCTTTTTCATTTTTCATCCTGGTGTTAATCGGTAGTGACAGGATCACCAGCACCACTTGTGACAGTACAATGATGAATTGGCTTTTTCTTGAAACCTTCCATTTGCTTATCAAACTCTTTAAATATTTCAGTTATTTTGTCATTGATAATAAAAGCGAAAATAATTATTACGGAAGAGAACGATTAAAATAAAGTTACACACTATTTGTCGTCCTTGATATCGATATTTTTATTTATTATCGCGATCACTTTTTCGTAGATTTTTTTGTCCTAAAAATAATCAACAGTTTGAAATAAAATATTTCGTTATTTTAGGTACCTAATTTGAAGATAACATTGGAATTCATCACCGGCAGAGATCATCAATACTTCAAATACATGACCTTCTTTTTGATATTTCAATCTCGTTGAAGATAACTATTCCCATACTTGTTCAATTTCAATTTTCTTTAAAAAATAAATAATATGTTTCGGAAAGAAAATTTTCTTACTTGAAAATTTTTCATCAAAGAATAATTCTGTTTATTGAAATACATATCGGCAGAAAAGAAGCAAATATCGATAATTTTTTTGATGATTTCTGGATGTTCAATTATAATTTCTTTTATTGTTGGTGCCGTTGTCATTATGAATAATCTAAAAAAGAAAAACAATAGTGAAAGTGAACTATTTTAGTTTTCTTCGAATGATATGCTTCAGAGATGGGCAGCTCCGACGTTTTCTCGCTCCAGCTCCAGTCGCTAATGATTCGCTTCGCTCCGACCCCGCCTCTAGCTCCGCTCTAACGAAAATTTTTTTGCTTTTTTCCTTGAAGTTTGATGATGTTTAGTGAATTTCACGTTTTATTTCAACATGTATGTATAGAATATAGAAAAAAAAACTAATTCTGAATATATTGAAGTTAGCTTGATTACAATGTGAAGATTATTTACTATGAGAAATAGACTAGTGAAGTATAGCAGGTGTCGATTGCATTTAAATAAAGTTAGCATTGAGAGCATATTTTTAGAGAGTCAACTACGATGCGGACGCATGAATATGCCGCTTGTAAAAAACACCAGTTCTATTGGAGCGAAGGTAGCCGGTACACAAAGCACTCTTGTAGCAAGTCGGTGCAACTATGGATAAGAATCTTTTTTTTCAAAAAGACTAGGTGAGCATCATCACTAAGTTCCTTTTCGAACATCGAGATTTTACTTTCGATCGATTCAGACATACATGAACATTTTTTCTACATGGTTGTGTTTTGTCCTTCGTAGCCAGAAAAGAGTCGTTTGCTTTTGAAATTCGGTAAGTTGTTCATTGTGTCGTCATCAGTTGTGCAGTTCTCAGTAATGGACGATTCGATGATGCATGTTGAATTATTGTTTATTGTACCGTGCAACTACAATGCAGCTTTGAACACAAGCGTTTTGATTATGTTCATAATTCGTTCCTTCGTTGATTCTGATAAATTTAATGCTAAACCCATTTTAGCTTGAAACATCTTTGTAAAGGTCGCTGGTAGAATGTTTCTTCATTTTCATACTAGTATTAGCAAAAACTTCGCACCGTTCAAGTAGTTCACCGAAACGCTGGTGTAGAGAATTGAGAAGTGTTCGACATAGTGATTCAAGATATTTGCAGTCAGCCTGTTCGCGTTCGAGATCAAAGTAAACTGAGAGAATACTAGGTGTGACTAACGATATTGAAGTAAATTTTTCGATTTGCGTACGACGTGTTGCTTCGATGAATAATGCGAATATAGTGGCGAATTCTTGGAGTATGATAATATCACGAGTCATCAAAAGAAGATCGGGGCGGCCAGCATTGCATAGGAGATCGTTGAGCAATATGTGCGAGATTTCAAGCACTTTGCAAATTGCATGAAGTTGTGAGTTCCAGCGCGTTTTCACCGCTACTGGAACACTGATGTTTTCTCGCTACCGATTCTTGGCAAATACTGTCGATTTGTGACTAGAATATTAAACAAGAATAAGACAGAATAAACATAGATTTTTGCAGAATTTTTCACTATTCATAAATTTTGATAAGTATCTTACCTAAGTTTCGCAATTGCTGCAACTTTAGCAAGAGCTGGTTTTGCATTTTCACACTCTTTCAAACCATCACCAACCGTAAGTTGTAGAGTATGGGAGAAGCATGGTATACGAAGACGTTCTTCTTGATCATTCATGTTGTTTTTTTTTAATACTCGAGTGCCTCTGATTCATCATCATGTTCGTCTTCATCATCCTAAGGCTTAAAATAAACTTCAAATCCTGGTATTATAAGTTCATCAAACGCCTTTGTGTTGTTTGATGCGTTGTCTGTGACTATTCGAACTGCCTTGTCTTCGATATTAAAAGTGGCAATAGCGTCTTCGAGATAAGGACGTAAATTGTCGCCTGTATGTGGCCCTGAAATTAACACTTTTAATGAATCATAGTAATGCTCAGCGACTGATCTGGAAGAGATTGAAAAGTAAGCAAATAATTTCGGAAGGTACCATCGTTTTTTACAATAATATGCATTGTGATTCCAATGAACGCGCGTATTCTACAGTGAGACCACTCGTCAAGAGTGAGCGCGACGAACGTCGCGTCACTAGAGACTTGTTTTACTTTGATCATGACTTGTTCAAGAACAGATGGTAGTATTTCACGACAAAGTGTACGTCGAGACAAAACAGTAAATCTTGGATCAATAGTGTTCATCGCGCGTAAGAATGTTGGATGATCGACAATAGGAAGTGGCAATCCCAAGTCGATTATCAAATCAGGTACAATCATTTGTGTAAGTTCTAATTGGGGAAGGTTGTGAGCGCCATATTTCTGATCGACTAAAAAATCAATATATATTCCTAAGCAATGTTATTCAACGATTATATATCTCGCTGCCCAAATGATTGTTGAATTGTTGGTTGTTTCTTGTCATGGTTTCATTTTTTGGTCTTTGGTTCTAACTTTTATAGATCAATTTCTTTTGTATATTTACGCTGAACATGACGTCCCTAGTTGTATGTTGAGGTTGTGGGTTGTTTCACAATAGTACGGCATAATAAGCATTTCGCAGATCTTGTACCATTACCATGCACCTGCATCTCATCGAAGAATTGTTCAAGAACAGTGTGAGTCATTTTTTCGATGTTATATAATTGCAGAGTATCATTATTGTCAATGACAACAGGAGAAGATGATTCATGCAATCCATCTTACTCAGTTTACGATGACGATTGATCATATGATCGTTCTGACATAGAAAAGTTTGTTAGTTCAACTTTCACTTTAATAAGAAATTTTGTTCTGTTCTATCATAGTTCACTTCTCACAAATTTTATATTATAGAATTTTCTTTCCTCATTGACGTCGTGTTCATACATTTTCAAACAAACAATAGCGCAGTCAAACGGCCGTAAAACAATCGATTAAATGAACGGTCAGTCATTGTCTTGACCATTGTCATGATTAAAGTATAACAATGGCATATTCACTACAGTGAATCGTCGATGACGAGCTTTCCTTTCAATAATTCTTCCATCTTTGTTCACAGAAGAATAAAGTAAAAGATGAAGCCATGGTTGGAGCTATAAAGTAAAAGCCGCTCCGACTCCGGTCTTAATGAAAAATATCCGCTCCGACTCCGACTCCAGTCCAGTTCCATCATTCTATCGAATCACTCCATCGAGCGGGCGCTCCAGAGTCGGAGCCGCCCATCTCTGATGTTTATACAAAAATTTGTTTTTTTTAAATCAACCCTTGCTCGAAAATAAACTTGAACCACATAAATTCAGTTGCTTATTGATTGTTGAGATCTAAATAATCACTCAATGTCCCTTTTTTTCTATATTTTTTCAAATATCTCAGTATTTTATTGCTAAACTAAAAGAAAAGCTATCTTCACAAGGTTTATTTTTCCAACATAAAATCAAGGAGAATAATGAATTGTATTCATAAGAGTTTATTCATATACATTATAGTCTGGCCTCCGATTACATATTTTCGAAATTATAAGAATTCGCATAAAGGATTTCGTTTTCTGAATTATACGATTATTTTCACTAGAAAAAGTAAAAAATTGACCAAAATTTAGGTGTTGTATGTCGAACAGCACCTCAAATGTATGTGCTTTACTTGCAAGAAACAACTATTCATATTAACTGTTTTTTTTCGTAAAAAGTGATCACGGGCGGAGGGAGGGATAGCGCCACGAAGATTCCTGTACTTCTCCTTAGGGTGAAGTCAAATCTCGTAAAATTTTTCCACTTTTTTTGACAAAATATAGGAAAAATAGGAATTATAGGACGAATCGGAGCCCAGATTATAGTCTGTCGAACTCATCTCAGATTTGAATCAAAATCAATATTTAATACATCTAAAAAAATTTTATCGATTTTTTTGGCACCTCTCCAGTTTGTTTTTTTGGTAACGTAAATGTATACAGAGCAAGATTTTAATTCTTTTTTTTCATTGGTGGTCTTAAAGTCTTATGGTACTGCACGGATCTAAACATCATGACTCATGACAAACTAGTTGTTTGGCATGTCACTAAAAATTTCTCATCGTTTTTTTTCTTATTTTTTCGTCATATCTTCTTCAAACAAAATATGTGTATTTATAGTTCAGTTACATATGCAAAAACGAAAGATGAATTACTCATTACATTTTGTATTCGTATTTCTTTAAAAACAAAAGTTATTATTTTCAGATGTTTACAATTAACCATTGGTTTCATCGAAATCCTTTAAAATCAACGGCTCTTGTGTCGTTTGATCATCGAACATCACCATCAAGCACAGATGCTATGCAAATATGCCAGTAAAATAAAAATAAATTCAGGATTTCAAATTGAAAATAATTCTTCGTTTTTTTTCTTTGTAGTCAACTTCGTCAATTACGTTTTGATCTTTTGCAATTATTATGTAATCCAACGCTTGAAACGTCAAATATTCGAGATATATTTGATCAATATATGTCATTATTAACTGGTTTTGTAACATCACCAGACGGTAGTAGTGATGATTCGAAATTACGTTATACAACAAAATTTTATTGGAGTGATTCATTAACAAAAACCGATGTTATAACGTATGAATAAAATAAAAAAATAAGACCAACAAAATTTTTATATTGAAATTTTTTTTAGTGATGTTCAAGATGCACAATTTGAAATATGCTGTATGACAATAAATGTCGCTATGTGGTATACAAAACATGCTGCATATGTGGCATCTAAGAGTAGTATGTGAGTAATATGAAAATTAAATCTTGTTATTTAAATTTAAATTTTCATTAAAAAAAACAAGGCCAAGTGACAAAGATGCACTTGATGTACATAAATCACTTCGAATTGCAGCTGGAATGTTGAAACATGTCATGGTTTGTGAATTTTATTTTTTTTATGATATTTTATTTTTTCTATACAAATAAAATAGGATGTTGAAGTTCGAAAATTACAAGATGTTAAATTACCACCTTGTTCTGATCTTAATGAGAAAGTTCTTGCTGCTTATTATTATAGTTGTTTGGGAGAATTTCATGAAGGTTAAATTTATAATTAGAACAATTTTTGATGAGAATTTTTTTTTTATAATTATTAATTTATAGTTACGGTAGCACGAGCAATGAATGCTAAACAAGATAATGCACTTATTTCAAGTATTAGCAATCAAATATCACAATATTTTGATATGGGAGGTAAAGAAAAATAAATTTTATCATATGATATATTGAAATAATATCCTCTAGGTCAACAATTAGCATCATTAGATGAAAAAGTTGTTGGACACTGGCGTATGTACTTTGGTCTTAAGTCAAAATTTTATTTAGCTGAAGTACGAATTTTTATCGAAGATTTTAGAATATTGCATAGTATTATTTAGGCACGTGCTTATCAAGCATTGGATTTTCTCAAGAAAAATGATGCACCAAATGCTTTGAAAGCTGCTGAAGAAGCAAGCAAAGGTAAATAAGTCATAGTTACTTTTCTTTTCGCTAATATCAATTGATCTATATGTAGTTCAACAACAAGCAGCTAGTTTTTGTGAACAATATTCTAAAACAAAAGGAGCTGGATCACCACAACGTCATCCATTTTTTCTTCAACTTGATTCATTAATTCGTCGTGTTCAATCAACAGTTGAATTTGAAAATAATATTATGTTTGTTTTTGTTTTTCTCATAATTACTCTCATAATTATATTTCTTTTTGATTTCTTTAGTCATCATAAAAGGGCTGCAGCTGACTTACCATCACTTGACAATAATCCAACACATGGAATTTTACCTGCTGAAGAATACATTCCAGCTAAATTAAATAGTTTATTTTCTCCGAATACATATCGAGCATTTGATATTGGTCGAAACGTTGGCAAAGTAAGAAAAAAAAGCAAGCATTTATTCTTTTTTTAATACTTAAACGTTTCTTTATTCTAGCCATATAAAGAAGACAAACGTGCACGCGAAATAAAAGAAGCTCGAGAAATGCCAATACCACAAGGAATGCCACCATCAGAAAGTGCTTGTACTATTGCTTAAAATGATTTTATTATGTACATTGATCGTCTTCTATTCATTTTTCTTTATTCTATTAAACATTTTATGCGTATTTAATAAAAAAAAACTAATAACAGAACAAAAACAAAACAAAAGAAAAGATTTCGCTTTTTTCTTCCTTTTCTTTTTTTAAAAATTTGCTGATATATATCTTCGTGGCATATAAAAATAAATAAAAAAAATGAATAGCGGTATACCAATAAGTAGACCAAGGGCCAAAATAAGTGGTGTTAAAATAAATGTACTTATAAATACAAATATACAAAGAAAAGCACGACGAATTGAACCCATATCAAGTTCAAGTGTATATTGATAGAATCTCTTTGTTATGATTATTGGTAATGCTATTAATAATATTGGAATAGCAACAACAATTATTAATATGGCTAATATTGGAGTTAATATCCATGATAACAATAAAAATAATATTGATTTAAGTTTTGACCAACGTTTTTTACCATAAAATGTACAACCGGTTGGAGTTATAAAATGTAAATTATCAACTTCTTTCATACATAACCAACAAAATTCACATGTACATATAGCACAACGTATGTGATTGCATGAACCATCGTTTAATTTTTCTATTGGACTTTTACCTAAGATAATAAAGTTTATAGATAATTATTTTGTAATTGAGAACTTAATATGGCAATTAAATTTATATTAGAAGCGCACCTCAACAATTGATCTTTGATCAGGTCTATTCAAACCGAATGAAATTGTCAGGATATATCGTGAGATGTAGTGGAGAAACTACGATAGAATTTTCAGCTCTATACTATGATATTTTCAAAAGATATTCAAAAAACAAGGATCAAAACGTCTCATTTAGTAACCTAAAATTCTCTATGAGTCTTCATTATATGCCCTTCATTTTTCTTGTGTTCAAAAAAAATCATGTTAAAGTCCTTGCTTTTAAATTATTACTTTTTAAGACAAGAGAAGTTCAATAATTAGAAAAAATCCTAAAATATGGTGCTCTAATTACACCGGCACTCTTTAATCTAATCTTAACAAAACTTAATTCAAGAAAAGGAGACTATGTAGGGGCGTAATTGAATCATTGAAGACAGAGGAAGCCAAACATAGACAAATGTCAAAACCAGGGGATGTTACATTTCACGCTCTCTTCCTCTGAGGTAGGCCTCTAGGAATGCGTTGGAATTCTATCTCAAACAAAAAAAAGCCATGGTTATCATGAGATTTCTTCGAAAATCCTGGGATATGCAATCGAAGAATCGTAAACAGAAACAAAAGCATATTTTTCAAGTAGAGATTGAGCGAAATTTTTAGAAAAACTGAGATGACCAATAAAAGTTACATTATTTATTCAAGGTCAGGCCTTGAATTACCATCTCAATTTTGATTTTTCTGAAGAAGAGGATCTAAATTATTCTTTATCATGATTTATGCAAGAAAAATACCACGAAACTTAAAAAGTTGCATGAATTTTTTTATCATAGATTATAACAGTCGGAAATTAAGTTTTATAGTCTTGATAATTAACAAACGGATTAGTTTTTTCATTGAATTATCCTACGGATAATATTGTTAAGTCGTGCGAACAAGACTAAAAACTTATTCGCATACATTTACGACCTATGGAAATATGATTTTATGTGATTGAAAGTGTTGTTTTGTTTCATCATGCATAATGAAATACAGATTTAAAGCTTGATGTTTTTATGTACTTTCGTTCATTCTGCATCTCACAATGTTATTGTGCTCTTTAAAAAAAACAAATTGAAGCATTTTATACTCTAAAACTAAAACGAAGGATATTGTTTGTCTTTTCTAATCTACCGTATGATATGTTATCAACATAATTTAACATTTACTGCATTGAAAAAAAAACATTGAATATGCTTGGCTATAATGTAACAAATGATCAAAGAATGTTTTATCTTTTATATTCATAAGAAAGAAAAATTCTAAAAAATTACATATAGATCCTCTATACTTAAAATAGATCATATATCTCTTTATAATCTTTTCTGTTTATCTAAAATTTATAACATAAATATACCGACTTATTATTCAATATATCTGAGATGAAAACTTTATTGAACAAACTACCATATTATTATTTTAGAACTTGTCTCTTACTTATATCAACAATGATATTTTGATGCAGAACATTTTTTCAGAAATCTAAACTAATCATGTCTTTATTTATGACAACAAAAGATTAATTTATTTGACCAAATCATACAGACGTATATAAAATATAATCTTTCTTTTTTGTAAGTTTAATTTATTAGGAAATTCTTTAATATCCGAATTCAATATATAAGAATTTGTCATTGTAAAGAAAAAAATGACATAAATACCATAGAATAAAAAAGCAACTAAGACTGAAAATCTATCCGTCCAAAACACAACATACGGAATGAGTTCATATTTCTTATGCACACTATAATTCAAAACTCATAGGCAATATTTCAGTAAAACTTATTATTACAATTTCTGTCATAAACATGTCACACTGTTAGATTCTTTATTCGTTTGAATGATTCCCTATAATTAACTAAAACTATTATGATAATAGATATCCTTCTTTTCATGAAAGTTTCTGATTGTATTTCTATGTTTAGAATATTAAAAGAAAAATCCCAATAATTCAAAACTCGAAATATTTTTAATTTTATTCTAAAAATAAAAAAAAAAGAACTTACATCGTGGACATGGTCGAATCATCCCTCCATTTACATTCGATTTCATCAGCATTTCAAGTGTAGGATCTTGAGTAGCACGTTGTGTTGATGCAAGTTCACATGTTAAATTTGGATGCCAGATTTGTGAACAACGTTGACAAAATGGTCGTTTACAAACTAGACAATCAAATTTATTTGCTTTACGTGTATTTTCAACCAAAACAGCAAAATTACAATTTGGATAACTAATTTATAGAAAGATTTACTTTTATTTAATTTTTTATTTATTAAAAAAAAAACAAATTATATACTTACGGACACCATCTTGTATCAGGCATTTTTTGTAACACACGTCTTAACATAAATGTTTCATAACGTTCATACATTTGTTGATCATTTAATATTCGTTTTATATCATTTGGATGAAGAATTTCTTTACAATCACTATGTGGACATTCTAATAATGATAAACAACCATTACGTATTTTATCAATTAAATATATTTGTAAACATGTATGACAAAAATTATGTTTACATGTTCGTAAATTTTCACATTCATTTGTTGAATAACATATTTCACATTCATATGTATTAGAATTTATATTTGTTATAGTTGTTATCATTGAATGTATATTATTATCATCATTTATATTTGTTGAATTAATATCATGTATAGCTGGTAAAATAGATGTTGATGTTGACGTTATTTGTACCAATGAATTCACATTAAAATTCGTTGACATACGACGAAAAAACGTTTGTGGAAGTATTTCATCCGTATTTGATATAGTACTAGATGGACTTGTTATACGTTTAATAACATCACTGGCACGCATATCAATTGATGATGATGATGATGATGAATTTGATATTTGAGAATTTGTACGTTGTTTGATATTTTTTAATGATGCTATATCATCATCATGTGATGATAAATTTATAATAGTATGTCCTTTTTGATTATCATTTGTTGAAGAATTATGTTCAGTTATTGGATGAATTCGATGATGTTTTCTTGTATTTGATGAACTTGTTTCACCAACATACATTGTCGAATTTTACACTTTTTTGAAATGAATGATGATGAATTTTTTTCTACTTGACAAAAGTAAATGAAACTGAATGCATTCTATTTGTGTGTGTTACTCTAGAAAAGAAAGAAAAGAAAAAAAGGAAAAGAAAAATAACAGATTCTCAGTTTGCCGCAAACTGCACGCGCATGATGATGGAGAGCAGATCTCGTAGAAGTATCGAAACATTATTTTTTTACCTGCATCGGACGATTTTATTTATATAACACAAGAACAAAATATAATTTCTTTTACATTCTACTACTTATTCAAATATATCAAAAATAAATAGGTCGCCTAACTATACATGCGTATATAATCAATTGATTGTCATATATTGATAGTAAATATTAACGAAATTCATCTGACATTCTTTGTTTTTTCTTTTCATTGAGATAAAATATAGAAAAAAATATTTGTTATTTTCTTGACAATAACATAAATATGGTCTTCCTACTTTTTTTTTTATCACCTTTACATTAAAACTAACAACGCAACAAAAGAGAAAGAAATAATCTTTTTCAAAACGCGCGCATATAAATAGTCAAAGAAAAAAATAAACGAGTTCTAGCTGATTCATATATGTATATACTTTTATTGCTGTCTTTTCTTTATAAGTCGTTTTTTACCAATGTTGTATTTGTTTAAGTCATTGCCTTCCAAATCGACGCATACATACAGAATGATCAGACGACTAACGTAGATAAGTGATTTATTAGAATATGTGTAATTTAGGCTTTATGTACAATATTCCTTAGGATTTTTTCTTTCATTCTTATTGTTTGATCGTCTATCTTATATAGTCAAGGAAAAGAGACATCTCAAATAAATATGTCTAGTCTTAAATGTATACGCTCATCATTAGCATCATCTTCAACTTTCCGATTGAATGAAGGAGAAATGTTACATCGAGTATGTGAAGGTTATTATCAAGGATTTTAATGCTAATATATACATAACTTTTTCTATTAATGTTTGAATTTTTACCAGAAAAACTATTTTTTATAAGTATTTCATGCTCATTCTTGCGTAACCTGCAATTATTCTATCGTACTTTTATCAGATGCGCGTAGTATATTAAACAAAAAAATAGAAGAAAACTAATATAGTATCTCCAACGATTGATCAAAGCATTTCTATTTGTAATTATGATTTAATATTTAAAAAGTGAAAGTGATTTCAAAGAGTTTTTTTTTCAATATTATTCTACAATTATTTATAACTATGTATATATATATACTGACAAAAAACGATTCAAAAACAATCTATAGAAAATTTGTTTTGTTTAACAAATAAAAAAGATATCTTTAAGAAGATTTTGTTCTTCGGAATCTGCTATAGCATTCATGGAATTTTTATTAATTTGAGATTTATTATTTATTGGTAAGATTTTTGGTATTTGTTCATGATATGATTCATTTAAAGATAATATTAAAAGGTCTTCATCATTATTATCAATTCCATATCGTTGTGTTTGAATTGGACGCTTAGCCTGTTTATCAGAAACTCTAAGAAACAAAATTCTTTTCTTTTTTTTTATTCTTTCATCTAGAATATTCGTTACTTGACGTGGGGTTTTGTTGTTTGTTTAACAGGTGACGTAGCACGTTCGACAACGACTGTTTTTATTTCATGTTTTATTGGCGATGTAGCACGTGTTGTAGTTTGAATAGTTAAATTCGATGATGATTTAGCTGGTTGTTCAATTAAAGAATTTATATTTCTTTGCTGAAATTCTTTTTCAAGTATTTGTTGCTAAAAAAGGCATAAAGAAAATTTTTCTTTTTTTTACTGAAAAAAATATAATCAATCACTTGTTTATGGAGTAATTCTAATTGTTTTTCCATCATTAATTGTTTTAATTGAAATTGTTCATTTATTATTGAATTTGTTGTACGAGATGGTTGAATTAAATCATTTTCGTTTTTATTACGTATTGTTGTTGTTGTTGAAGGTTCTTTTAACGGTAAATTAATGGGTGTTGAAGACTAAATGATTAATAAAATTAAGATTTGAAATTACGATGAAGAAGAAGAAAACAAAAAACTTCTACACGTTGAGGATTTGGAAATTCATTTGTTGTTGGTTTTAATAATAATTGAGATTTTTTTTCATATTCATTCAACATAATTTTTGTTTCATTATAACGTGTAAGAAGTTCTATATAAAAAAAATTGAAAAACAAAGAACTAAGAAAAATAAATAAATTTTACTTTGATTATCTTTCATTAATTTATCATAATCAGTTAATAATGTTTTCATTTGTACTTCAAATAATTTTCGTTCTTGTTCAAGTTTATTTTCTACAAGTTCTTTTTCATGACCGATACTAAAAATAAGTCCACTAAAATTATCTACGAAAAAATAAATTAGAAATATATACCGAGCAAGTTCTTTAATTAAATTAGCAATTTTTAATTTATCTTCAGCACTTAATTCTTTAATACCTTTGGAAGATTGAATTGATGTATCGACCGAAGTAGTCGGAACAGGTTGTTCAACAAATCGAACGACATTTGTCGCACTTGGAACCTATATTGAATATGAAATACAACTTTTCATTTTAGGAGAAAAACTAGATGGTACTCAAGTTTCACTCGGCTGCAAAGCTTCAAATGTCGATTGTTAAAAAGAAATTAAGTTATCATTTTTAAACAACTTTATTGAAATAGATTGTTTTTTCGTCTTGTTTAATCAGAAACTAAACCTTTCAATGGCAGTCTGAATGAAAATAAAAGTAGCCATTGTAAAATTCATCATTAAGGGACAAAGATGTGATATCCTTAAACGAAGAGAACTTTTTGTTTTTTTTCCCAGCGGATTCGAAAGTTTTGCGTACATTCTCTTAGACAAAAAGTCTTTACACCTGTACGTTCAATGTTGGCTGCCTCGAGCTAGTCCTTATTTTATTCTTCACACCACATTAAAACCATCTTTGACAGTCTTATTTACTGAAACGTTAGCAAGAAAATAGACAAGAAAATGAAACTCATATTCATTGGTAAATATTCTTTAAACTTAAGTATAAATTGTTTTACTATTGAATTGAAAATGGTTTATTGTTCTCTGAAAAATTATGAAAAGATTCATTGAAGCGAAATGAAGTGAATACACAAGATTGAGGAAAGGTGTAAGATTTTGTTATTAAAAAACAACAGCATATTTATAATTAACAAAAGACCTTCTTTATAAAATATTTCTCATAAAATGTCCGCTTCCCTTCTTGTTTACTAGGAAATTACATGATTACATGTCACTACTATACTATTTTTAACTGCGTCAAACAGACAAAAACAGATATATCAAAAGTTAGTTGATAAAGTTGATTAATTAACCTTTGTTCGTGCTTTGTTTACAACAGATGGTGCTGTAACTTTATTTGTTTTTATGGTTGGGATTTGTGGATGTTGTGCTATCGGCTTTTGAATAGCTGAATTTTGTTCTATATAAGATAAAACAAAAAATAATAATATTATATAAAATTTTGATATAATCACCAGCTGCATTTAACCATCGTATTCTAACAGGATGTTCACCAGGTGGTATAATATTCTCTTCGGTCATAATTTTATCTAAAATTTTTGGATGAGAAAAAAGAGAAATCATCAGCAAATCATGTTTGTCATCAAATTGTTTTCGTAATTAAATAAAATGTGAAAAAGAAAAGGAAAAGAAAGTCATCATATAATTTAATGTTCGATTGAATCGTAAACTTTTTTAAAATTCTTGTAAAATCCCTAAAATAAATCCAAAAATATAAAACAAGATATGTTTTATATAATTCTTACATTAAAGAACTCTAAATAATGTTCTAATGCCTGTGTTGATGTCATTTCACGTATGGAATGCATGGATAATTGAGGCGCACCAACATCAACTGTAGACATTCCAAGACGAGAAGCAAGTATCGGACCAACAGTTGTACCACATGGCATATCATTTCTCATACAAAATTCCTGGAAAAAAATAAATAAATACGATTCAGAAAATAATGTAGAAAAAAATACCTGTAATGGAACATTGCTTAAACGAGCAATTTCTTTAATTAATGTTGCTGTTAATGCATTTGTTGCATAGCGACCACAGCAATTTGTTTTAACAACAACTCCACCATTTAATAATGATGGTTTATGATCACGATCATGGAGAGAACTATAATTTGGATGAACACCATCTTTTTTTTTGCGAAAAGAAAAACAAATATTTATTTTATTTATTTATTTATTTTTCTTTGATTAATTAATATACATACGAGCCATATCAGCTGAGACAAGAAGTGATTTTGATACTGAACGTTCATATTCATCACGTGTCATTCGACGTAATGTATGTTGAGTAAATTCACTCATGGCACCTTGAGCAGTTTCAGAACCAATCTAAATTTTTACGAAATTATATAAATCTTCCATGCACAGATTACGAGCCCGATGGATTTCTAATTTGTCTTTCTAGAAATCAAAAGTTTGAAGGTGGACTACTATTGCGATCAAATCTAAGTCAAGACATGTTCAACAATTAATAAATCAGGAGTTTTATATGGTGTGCTTAGTTTCAAAATATCTATAATAATTTCTATGGAATCAAAAATTGACTCTCATTTCTCGCAATCTCATACTATTATATAAATAAAGTAATGAACTCTTTACACTACCTTTTATACCTACAAACTTATATATCTTCAATATTCAGTAGTGGATTCTCAGATGAATACAAGCAGTTACATTGAATGCAATACTTAACAAAAATTAATATTTTTTGCGTTTCTGCACTATGTAAAAAAGTAATAGGGGAAGAATTCGAACTGCATGATATAATTGCGTATCTAATTTCTACTTCTACAGTTCTTCAACAAGTATCGTTCAGTAGTACGTATGCATACGCATTTTTCAAGTCAATAAAAAATTTGATTTTTGCGTTGCTAGACAGCATATACAAGACAAAAGAAATTCAACACATCAACAGAGCTATAAGTGAATATAGAGAAGTGATGAGCTAATCTATTCAATTTTTCACATCGTTTGTTTAGTACTTAGGTTGGATGCAATGGGCTTCTATTCTATAGAGGATTATTAAATTTTAAAACTTATGAGAGAACTACTCCAAGCAACAAATGCTATTAGAGCTTATATTGGATCCACACGCAAGTTTTAGTGAGAATAACTAAAGTTTAAAGCATTCATCTTCATTGGATTCTCGCACTGAATTGTGACCGATTTACTAGATTTTTTATCTCATTTTTTAGCTACACCCTGAAAGATCATATAACAGAACTTTAATTTAAATTTTTGCTTATAGATGAACCTAAGGACTCTTAGAATATCCTCATAGTTTCAGTCGAAAACAATGTTCCTTTGTCACAAAAATCGAGTTTATTTAAAGTTTCAATCAATCGACGAAAGAACATTTTTATCGAGTGAAACTTTCAGGATATTCTAAGAATCATTAAATCTATCTATAGGCAAAATTTGGAATCAAAACTGTGCTGTTCAGTGTTCAGAAGGTACTTAAAAGCGGATCAAAAACCGAGCAAAACGGTCATAACTCAGTGCCAAAGACCTATTGGGACGAACTCTTTCAAGTTTTTGCTCTTCTTATTGAGATTTGCCTTTAGATTTAATATGAACTAAAACGTTAGATATCACGTGGGGTATGTTCCCTCGTTAATAAATGAAACTACCAATAAAAAAATGTTGAACATAAAATTTCCTATACAAAAAAAGATGATCTCATCGAATATCATTCATTTCTATCTCAATAAATGATATTAACCTCTTCATTATCATATAATAAAGCTCCACGAATAAATGTTTCATCAGGTAGTGTATCGAGTGAATTGACAAGACCCTAGAGATAAACAAAAAAACAAATTACAATTTATAATGAATCTATTAATTTCGAATATTACTTGGATTGCACAATATGCACTCATTTGATTATCAAGACGTCCAGAATAAATAAATTCATTTTTAAGACCACCAACACATGATGGTTGAGTATCAGCAAGCATTAAGTCAAAATTAATAATATCATCTGCTTGACAATTACATTCATTAGCAAGTAATTCTAATAATTGACTATGATGTTTTTTTGACTAAAATTTTTCAAAAAGAAAAAAAGTTAATTAAAATAAAAAATTTAACTTTCATATATTTACTTCATCAGTTAATTTTTTATTTGTATCTGATGTTGTCTCTTTTTCTTTTGTTGATTTATTTAATTCTTCTTCAGTTTTTAATGATAATACAGCTTGTCTAAATAATGATTTTTATTTTCAACAAAAAAAAAGAAAATTTTAATTAAATTCATATCATACAAATGTTCTTGTTTATTGATTTCTAATTTTTCATTAGTATCACGTTTCAGATGAATAGCAATTGTTGGTACACGAAGTATAGGTCGATTGATATGTACCAAATGTTGTTTAATTTTACCATTTTGGTTCTTTATTTAAATGGAAAGATTATAGAGAATTGATAACTAAATTTTTATACAAACTCGAAAGAAAACTCGCCCAGCTAATGTTAAATCTCGATCAAACCATGTATGCCAAATACCACCACCATAACATTCAACATTGACTTGTAAATAACCACTTTCTTCCCGTTTTGATACAGGTTTTACCTATTAGATAGAATAACATTAAAGCCATAATGCTGAAGTTTTTGAGGAAAGGGTTCGCTTTCATCAGACAGACTATCTACAGTCTAATTCTAACGACAAGTTATATATTTCTACATATGTAATATGTATTTTTCACAAACTCGTTTAGTGTATCTGACTATATCGCATTAAATGTTATTGCTTTCTATTGTTTAGTTGTCATTTCTTCCGTGAGCCAAAAATATGTATACAAGGACATAAATGATAGACAGCTGTTCAGAAACCGCTAAATAGAAAATAGGCATACTTTAATAGTATCCTATTGGACTTTTCCTATTATAGAATATAAAAAACCTTGAACTTTGAAGTGAGACGTTTCAAACAACTGATAGATGGTCACTTAGACTTATGCAAGAGTTTATCGGGCTCAAAAAAATGTGCCGCTATGAGATGAGTTTAGTATCCATTATTGAAACTTTACCTATGTCATAAAAATGAGAAACTGTAATTTGCTAGTAAACAGGATACTTTATACTTCTTTCAAAATAATTAAAATGTATTTCCTTGCGTTTCTGAATTTTACATCAGCTTCTAAGATGATATCGCGTGCCACAGTCATATAGAAATTTTTCTCAAATCCTCCAAAGTTCGATAGTTTTCTCTAACCAAAGTATCTTAATAAACACGATTTAACGTATTTATATTAAGATTCACAAAATGTTGATGTCAAATAAATATGTGAATGAGAAAAGTATAGAAGTCAATTTTTTCGCCCGTCGGTAATTATCAAAGTTCTCAAATAGTTTGAAAACTTCCATTTTTAAAAGTGTGCACATCTCTATTTCTAAACGAATCAAATCATAGCTACAACACAGAAAAGTTAGTCGCAATTAAGTCTTTCTTGTACATCATTTCTGCATTTAATCTCTTTTAATTATGTAAGTAATATTCGATTCATTAAATTACATACTCGGAGATGTGGTGAATCAGTATGTGTTGCTGTTAAAGCAAAACCATTACCATTTGTATATTTGCCACCAACAGCAAATGCCGCGATACATGAACCATTTTTAAGAACAAAATACTAAATAAATACAAAATAATTTGATATTACTTTTTCTTTCTTTTACTTTTCCCAAGGGTTCAATGTTCCATTGTTCATCTTCTCGCAGTTCTTTAAAACCTGCTGTAGTCAATGTTGTTTTAACATGATCAACGCCTTGAAAATATTGAATAATAATATTTAAAAAATAAAACGAATTTCTATCAAATAAAAACAAATACTTACAATGAAATGCTGTTGGACTTTTATTAATAAAATTAAGAAATCCTTCAACATTTTTTGACATTGAACCTGCTAATGTTGTCATCTGAAATTTAATAGAAATAATTTTCGTCAATTCTATACCACATACCCTTTGAATAAAAAAACTATAACGAGGAAAATTATTGAAAATGATTGACATCTTAAAAATTAAAAACAAAAGAAAACAACTACTTTCATAATAAGATAAATATATATATGTATAAATTCCTTCTCTTCAGCGATCCATATTAATTAGTTAAAATAAGAAAAACAAGTAGATAACAATAATGAGATAACTTAACCAATATAAAAAAAAGAACCATTATTACTTCCATTTTTTTTCATTCACATATAAACTTAAAGTTTAAATTCAATTAAAATAATTGAAATTTCAAGTTTCAACCAAGTTATGATTATCAAAAAAAATGCCTTAGTCATTCTCATTATACTTTACTCTTTCTCTTTCTGTTAGTGTAGGAATGAAAAGAGAGAGAGAGAGCTATTTTTCTTGTTTGTCATAACTCAATTGAAACAAGGAATATTAGTCAAAATAATTTTAATTGAAATCAACTTTCAAGTTTTGCAGAACTGATTTTGCTTCTGTTGATAAAAAAAATATAACAAATAATAGAAGTTTAGATAATCTTGCAAAATTGCAAAAAAAAGTAAACATAATGTTAATAATAAATCTCTGACCAAACCCATTTTTGAGATTCTTTCTCTTCATCGCATTCACTTAATTTTAAATCCTTGCCATCTGTTTCCATACATAGATGTTCTTTATTGCTTCGAATTTGTTTTGTTGACTAAAACAATAAGAAAAGAAACTATTATCAAGAATACTAAGAAGTATCTTTTTCTTTAGCTGTTTCGCTCATTACCTTGTCATATTGCCATTCACCAACTGGATTCCATCGACCTCGATAATCCAAACAAAACTTTTTTTTAACTATATCATGATCAGATATAAAACAATGTTCACCGGATGATATTTCACCTTCTTCATTTAAACGCCAAACCTGCTAAAATATTTTAAATAAAATATTTGAATACAATATGTTCAAATTATAGTGCAAGAAAAAAATAATAACAACAAAATACGTGAGAAACGATTGTCATTCTACTTTTGATATATCTACCGATTAATATAATGTACTATGTAGAATTATTCAGTAACCTCTTACTATGCATGTGAAAATATCAATACTCTTTGGTGTTGATTAGTATTGGTATAAAGTATTCTATGTCGAGATCATGTTTGGTAGAACGAAATTAATCTCCTATGTGAAAATTTGTTCTATTCAGAATGTAAAAGAAAAAATTCCGATTGATTAAAATTCACGTTGTATTTTTAATAAGTATTCTAAATTTAACTAAATACTGCTTAAGCATGTTTGTGACAAGATTATTCTTTTTTATATTAATACTTAAATGGTTTCAAATACTGCGCTTAGTATACAAAAATTTACTTGATAAACTTGAATAAAAGTACTACGCAAATAATTTTGCTAGTATTTTGATTTTTTTTTCTTCCTTCACAGTTGTTGGCAAACACTTAATTCCACTACAAATATTGGTAGATTTCAGGTGTTAATCCGTAAAATCTTTCTAAGATGAATCTCGAACAACAGTTGCTCTTTTCAGTCGTCTAATTTGCAAATATTTCAGACAGCTAACAGTTACTCATCATCATGAGTATCATAAATAACTAAGTCACAAAATGATCAAATAGGTTTTCGAAAAAAACTAATTTCTTTACTTTTTCGTGTAAATTTAAAATTAAATACGCCCCCTCCTATTAACCCTATTCACCGAAATAAAAAATTATATTCTCTCAATAATAAAGCAGACTTTATACAGACTCTAAAACGTTTCCGTTTTCTATATGTTAGTCCATCGTTTTTTAAAGTATAATGAAACTTCTATAACCAAAGAAAGAAAAATAAGATATGATCCGCATAAGATTTTTTTCAAGGAATTTTATTTTTCCACTCATTTTCTTATATCAAAAACGAATTCATTCTTACTTGTCTATAACAACCACTAACACCAATTGGTTGACCAAATGAAGCACCTCGATCATTTAAACAAACTGAATGTTTAACATTTTTACACTAAAACATATGCCATTATTTCGAAAATTCTAATTCAAAAAACGAAATTATATTCGACATACTTCTCCCCAAACAACATTTTTTGGTGGTGGTGGAAATTTTTGTAAAACATCATACGCAATATTTTCCATAAACCATTTAAATGGTTTACATTGTAATTTATCTCTTAATTGTTTGCGTTCTGATACATCACCAAAGTCTAATTTACGAATAGCTGGTTCACGTATATAATAATATTCAGTATATTCATCCATCCATACTTCCGCAAGACGCATATGATTTATATATGTTTGATGTGCACTTGTACCAGGTACATGAGATGAATGACTTCTTGGACCACGATATGCATGTGCAACATGAGAACATGGTACCCATTCAACAACACCACCACATTGCCAAACTTTAAATGATAATTCATATCTTAAATATAAAATAAAAGATTTCTATTTTTCTGTAAAAGTTTTGTAATATGAAACAAACATACTGTTCAGCTCCCCAAACTCTTATGCCTGGATCATAAGCACCTAATTCAAAAAACCATTGACGATCAATAGCTAGTAAACCGCCAGCATGTGTTGGTGACCTAGAGAAAAATAAATAAATATATTTATTAAAAATTATTGAATTAATTTCTATATACCAATATGGTTCAGATGAATATTTTCTTTTTTTTAATTCTTGTTCTGGTACTTCAGTTTCTTTATATAAAAATCCCCATTCCCAAATTCCTCGAAAATTTGATGAACCATATATATTTGTATGTTCTAAAGTTTTCCATTCAATTCCATCAACTATTGGAACAGCTATGGCTTTACGATTAATTGCAATACGTGTTAATAATGGTGGAAGCCAATTAACAACCTAACAAAAAATAAAATCGTCTTTAAATATTTCCTGTTTTTTTTTTAATTATTTATCTCTATTTTTTTGTAAACATACACATTCACAATGAGCATCAAGTATAACAATAACATCACCAGTTGATTTTTCTGCACCAAGTGTACGTGCTGCAATTAAACCAATACGTTTTCCTGTTCGATAAAGTTTAACAAGACCATTCCAACGTTGAATATATTTTTCTAATGGTTCAAGTAAAGCCGCTAAAGAAAAAAATGATAACTAATTCTTTACACTATTCATATAAACTTTTTTAAAAAATTACATACGATCACTACTACCATCATCAATTAGAATTATATCTTTAAGTAATTCTTTTGGCGATGTATTAATTACACTATGTACAGTACGTAATAAAACACTCCAACCTTCATCGAAAAAAACAAGTATTACAGAAGCTGTTGGTAAACGTTGTATATCAGGATATATCCAATATTTACATCTATATAGAAAGATTTCATTTAAAAAGAACTTTTTGTTTGCTACGGAAATTTAGTAAATCAAAAATATTTGTCAAAAAAGTGTTTCGAACATCATTAATTTATCTTACTCTTCTGGTCTTGTATCTTTAATTTGTCTATCCATGGATATTTTATCGGAAGCAACCATATTAAAACCATATTGACTTATTGTTCGTTGTGCCTCTTGTTCTTCTGCAGAAGAGACTATCACAGGAACACCTATTGAACAATAATAATAGGTCAATTATATTTCAAATGAAATTAAATTTTACCTCCTTCGCCTGGACCTGATTGTATTGGCCTTTCTTTTGGTTCATAATTTCCTAGTGAATTACTCATTATTGGTTGTAAGCTATCACTTTTTGCTGGATTTCGAACATCAGAGGCTTCTTGATTAGCCTTGTTGCTCTATGTATCCCAAAACAAAACAGTAATGAAAAGAAAAAGAAAAAGCATGTATTTTTACATCTGAATAATCAACTTTATTGTCTTCAACTATTGATCTTTTAGTACTAGAATCTAGTTTGGACATAAGAAACGGCACAATAAAAATAAGAAGTCCAAGTCCAATAATAAAACGAAGTATACGTCCAAGTCGATAACGCATTTTTAAATGAACAACTAATATTTATTTAATTTTCAAATATTAATTATTAGATGATTCATTCATTGATTCTCAAAAGTTACCACGTCTACCGTGCCTCTCGAAAGCTGGCCCAATCGAACCATTCAGCTCGACGAAAATAACGATTCTATTGGGTGATTCTTTAAGCAATAGATATCGTAATATTCGCAAAACACCAATAAAGAGGAGCACAAAATAAAAATATTTTGGAAATGTTCGCCTCAGTGATGATATATTCGAATTATATTTTCGCTTAAATTTTTTCAATTAAATGATAATTAGCATTCTTGCTCAATTACATGAATTTCTATTATGAACCAAGAACATAAAAACAAGAGTGATTAAAGATATATACATATAATAACAATTAAAAAAACAACATTTTCAGGCTTCGCAGTGGCACTCCTTTCCTGATTTTTTAATAGTGACCTGATTTTCCTGTTTTTGATTTAAAATCCTGATTTTATCCTGATATTTTATAATTCATCTCTATAGAACTAAATTTTACAAGATATCACGCATTATTTTGTTATACTAAATCTGTCTTTCAAATCTGTATAAATATATTTGTAGAATATTTTTAACAATAGAAAAAAAAAAGATAATGTTCAAATTATTTTTATTTCAATAATGTATTTTTTCTTTTTTTTCGTAACCGGTTTAAGCTTTCGCTATTTTCAATTAATTGATTGTTCAAAACAATTAGTTTAGCATTAGCAGCTGTTAGAAGTACTTCAGCTATACCAATCTCACTAAATTCTCGATTGTTCATAGCTGCAGCAAGTCTTGTGCTCCCTTCCTCCAACATTTTAGTTGCTTTGGCTAATTCTTCTTGTAAAGCTTTTTTTTTCGTTGATCAGTTGATTTTCTTTTTCTTCTAATTGTTCATGTTGTACGTCAGAAGCTCGTTTTTCATTCATCACATCAATATTTTTAATTAATTTTTGTTGTTGCTCAATATCTTTTGCATAACGTGAATATGCTTCTTGAACGTTGGACAGTAAGGTAAATATTGTTGAAACCTTAAGCATAGTATCACAACATTTCGAATAGATCAAACGTATACTCACCATATGAGTTTTATCATCATCAAAAAATTGAATGCCAGCATTTGTAGCTCTCAAGCCATTAATTGATGACTCATTTAATAATGAACGATCATCTGAAACAAGATTATTGTTTTGAGAAAAACCTCGTTCAACGTCACTATTTCCATGTGACAAGGACAACAAGCACTTTACGAGTTTAATCAATGCTAGATATTGTGGTGCACCAGTTCATATAGCAGTAGACAATACTTGATACCAATATTCATCAATTGGTACATACTCAATGATGTTGTTCGAAGAATTGGTACTTTTTTTAATCCATTCATCGAGTATATCAGCCATTTCATAAATGCGCCATTCAGCACCAACTCGATCAACTTCTTCGCTGGTTAATAGATGTGGAACATTTCGTGCAAGATACATAATACTGGCTCTAGAGGATTCATCTTTACGCATTGAAGGTTGAAAACACTGAAGATGTAGTAAAAAAATCATGAGTAATTGGTAATGATTTCATTAATTCTTTCTGAAATATCATAATACTTATTATATCAATATTTTGAAATCAATTATACTCACCGTTATGTTGCAATAAATTTCACGTACATCTTGAAAAAGAACTACTTTCTCATTGTTAGATAAATCTTTAATACAGATTCAAGTATTTTCGCCAACATCAATATTTATATTATTCTTTTGGTTGTTTTGAAGTTCGAAAGAAATAGACAATAATTAAATACCTTCTTTACATTTTGGGAGTTCTTCTTTCACAAATGAAAGTAAAACATTACGTAATAAGTTAGAACACTCGCTATACAACAAATGTACTAATGGTTGTTCTTGTTGCAACCAAACAAGTTCTTTTTTAAAAATTGTTCGATAAACAAAAAGAATGAAATGGAATTTGACAAGTGTCGACTTGTCATTAATAAAGTTTTTAATTCAATTTTCTTGTCGACTTTTGAAAGATATTCAAAAAAATATTCTTTGATAATATTCCATTGCTGTACAACACATTCAATTACTGGACCAACTTCGATCCAACGAGTTTCAACAAAACGATAAAGAAATCGGGAATAACATTCATTAATAGTTGTCGCAACTGATATAAAATCTTCTCAACGAGCAAAAGACCTAGAAAACCAAAACCAAATATCATTGATTGATTCATTAATAAACCATGTTGTCGATTTAATTCCTTTCCGAAATGAACCATGAATAATATGTAACGGACATGAGCCAATTGAAATAAGACCCATTATCGGCATCGACCGTGATCTATCGAACAGTATTTAGATAAATAAAGGAAATCACAGAAATAGAGAATCATTACTTTTTTTTCTTTCGGCAATAATTTCTTTATTAAGAATATTTTCTATCGCCTTATTAACATTTGGATTATCTCTTCCTATTTAAATGAAAAATATATACGGATGAATCGATGTAAAGGATAACATACCTAACATCAACATTTTTGTAATATCAATTCCATCAGCTTTCAATGAATCAATAATAGATTGAGAAATAATATCGGCAGTGGCATATGACCAAGAATAATACTTTTGTAAAATCGAACACATACACCATTTTTTGTTTCTGCCCAATATAGAAAAAAAATATCAAGTTGTCTACGAACACCAGCAATTGTACTTTCATCGAAGAGTAATGAAAATCCATGAGCTTTACGTATATTCTTGATTAATTCACTAGTAAAATAATAACTAGTTCCATGTGAAATAACATACGATAATTTTCGTGGACGTAATGAATAATCAGCAGCAATCGAACTGTCAGAAAACATGTACCAAAAAATTTCTGGTAAAAATTGTGATGAATTATAAGAAAAACCAAGTTGAGAAGTAGCCATTGCCCGTATACATTCAGAACGAACAACTTCTGAAAAATAAAATAAGAACCATAGTTTCTTGTTCATATGATAATCTGACTACATATATGTTAAATAATTATTTTAGTCTGAATATTAAGTCAACAGAGGTTATATAGAAACACGAATTTTTTTAGAGAACATTAAATCCAACTAGAAAAAAAATCTACAGATCAGTCAATAGCATGCGCTGATGTTGACGGCTGTGATGACCGGTGTATTATTTCATTCTCTTTCTTTCTATTGCTACCTACAATTGCATCTGTGGTAGAATTAAATGTAACTGTGTATTTTTTTCTCTCTTCTCTTTCTTCCTGGCCTTCTAAACGGATATCGAAATATGTACTCGAATTTGTTCTTACATTCTGATAATTTTTCGTAGTTTTATATATTATTTGATAGAATAAAAGTAAATTTCTTAAGAATGATGACTGAGACTACTTACTTTCATCATGTGTTGATGCTCTTTGGTCATTTTGAATAGTGATAAAAGGACGTGGTGTTGTATTAACATCTGTGGATGTTGTTATTGAACATACACCACAATCATTCGTATTATTGGATACAGATGATGATGGATGACCAGATGCAACAAGTGGAACTGAACCAAATACGTCCTTCATACGTTGAATATGTTTTGGACGAGCAAAATATTTTTTTATATCACTCCAGCCACCATTAGCACAACTAAGATCATCTGTATTACACACAATACATCGGAATGAATTAAACCCCCCCTCATAATAAAAGACCCCCATATTAGAAGACCCCCCATTTTAGAAGACTCCTCCGGAGGAGTCACTTCATAGAAATTTCTTTTTTTCACCAGCAAAAATTTACAAAATTTACAAAGTTCGCTGGACCATAATAGAAGACCCGGGGTCTTTTATTGTAGGGGGGGTTTAGCTGTTTTGCCTTTCGTAAGCCACCGAGAACAAACTCGATTGGTATTATCCAATCTAAGCAACCATTTTGAACAAAATCCTGTGTTTTCGGCATTTGAGAAGGTCTAAGTGAAGGTCACATTTTTCAGAAATAAATGTTTATCACATTGCATTAGTTTTATATATGGACAGAAACGCAAAGTAGACTATACAATAACAGAGAGAGAGAAAGAATGAAAAGAAAGAAACACGATTAGTAGTGCGTATCTAAAGAAAAAAAATCACATTGTTGTAGAACTTATTCTTCGTCAATTAGTTTTGCCATTTATCGAAGCAACATACGTTTTAATTTCAATTAATCATTAGTACTTCATCCATTTTTATCCATATTTAGTTCTAGATAGTAATATCAGAATAAGTTTTACAATGTCCTGATTTTTCCTTGAAGATTGTCCTGCCTGTTTTCCTGATTTTGCTGCATAGACCGCTGCGAAGCCTACTCTATGCACTCTCCTTGAGATGTTAAAAGGAAATTATTTTCAAATACAACTGTTCTGTATTATGTACTATATTAAATATTTTAATCACGATCTCGATTCTTTAAAATTTCACCAAACATGAATAAGTATGTATCCATCGTCAACATATCCCCAACAACTGAAATTATAATTAATATGAATTTTGATATGACTTTTCTGTAATAATTTGAAACATAAGCACAATCTTACAAAAACCACTACTTTTAATAACTTTTTTAATCTCTGTTTACTTGTAGATAATCAGTTGTCTTCGATGAAACAGATTGATTTTTTTAAAGTATACATCTGTATTCCATCAGTTTGAGTGATAAATATTTTTTGATTCTAGATTCGACTAAACATCAACAATCTTTGTTCTCTTCTGATGTTAACAATTTTTCAAAAGAATCAACTCCAAAAACAGGTCGTTGCTGCGATTGAACGTCATATTGCGTTCATGATTTTATATGTTGTGGGTCGTTCGATTCTAGCTACTTCGATTTATCACATTAGTGATGATGACTCTTCTGAATTTGATGAAGATATGGAAGAAAACGACCAAAATGATAATGTTGGTGTTTTGATGTCACACTTGTCGACTTCGTCTACAAAGAAAAAAAAGAAGAAGTTTATCGAAAAAGACAAATTCTCAGTGCTCGGCAGCAAAACGTATTCCTTTTGATACGTCAGTGGATTCCGAAAATGTTGATAGAAAACAATTTGATCTTACACAAATGATGAATTATATGAAAGAAATCAATCAAAACAACAAACATCTTTCCCAACAATAAGAACAAATTCTACTCGTACAAGATCGAAATGAAAATACGTTGAAATTCATTTTGAAAAACCAGAAGAAAATATCCAAGGCTATGAATCAAAAAAATGTATGATCTGATAAAATTGTTTTTGTTATGTCAGTGTTACTTTTTGTTTTAGATACTAATTATTCTTGATGTAAACGGAGTTGGTAAATCATCATCAAATGAGCCATGTGGTAACAATGTGAGTGTCTTTATATATAAAAATATATGTTGCATATGAGTAAAACAGGATTTATCGAGAGAAACTTCAATAGTAATCAACCTAATTATTAATAGGGGTCCTAGTGAAAATCAAATGTCAAATCAATATGATTTGATGAACAAACAAAATCTCACATATTCAAATTTCTCATTGAGTTTTTTTTGAGTTCATCAGCATCAATAAATGCGTATTAATGAGTTTCGTTTTGATTTGAAAACGAGTATTAAGCTATTAAAGATATCTATATATAAATTATTTCTAAGTGACTATTTGCCAAATCCAAATCTCAAGCCATGTCATCTGTTACTTATTGTTTAACAGAGATATTTGTGTTGAAATCTCAAATATTGATGGTACATGCTTTATCACCAAGTGTCGAATAAATTATATATTCTTTTCTACAATATTCATTAATCATTTTATGCAATCCTTTTTTTAAGATATTTAATCGTTCTGATGGTGTCCAAGTTGATATGATGTCAATACAATGTTCTCTAAATAATATTAATGATTATGTTAACAAAGCTATTGATATCGTCTTCGTAGATATCAAGGAGTTAATTGCACTTGAACTTCGTAAGGAATGTATCGATAAAGATCCACGTGTAAAAGTAATAAAAGGTATGATTATATAAAACATTTAATAGCTCAGTTTTAAGTCGTGAATCATTTAATATTTTGTGTAGTATAAACCAGCCCTCTGATCTGAATTAAATCAATATCTTGTCTCTTCGTGATATTGCCCAAAAAACCTTACAAAACATCTAAGAGTATCGATCGACTTTCTCATATAGAACAATGTTGACAAATACGTTTTTGATCGAGAGGTTCTAGTAGCTTTAACTAATGTTTTTTTTATTTACTCTGGAACAGGTTATATTTATCATGGTGGTATAAATTTGTTATCCACGTTTAGGTTTTATTTTGATTTTCAGATCTTGCATGCAAGTCTATTGATATATTTTATGAATATGTGTGCAAAGTGAAAAAGTCATAGTGAAATATTTCCTGCAATTTTATTGAAGTTGCTTCGAATAATTTTCATATACGCTTAGAAGTATATTCCACAATGAAAATAAGATGTAAATAACTCTGCCTATTTTCTAATAATTATTACAAACACAAATCGTCATTCAAATGATATTTTTATATCTTAATCTTGATTTTGATTTTGACAATCAAAATATTTTTTGGTATTTTTCATTTTAGACGGTGTTAAAGCGAAGTATAACCTGGATCAAGCAGAAATCGAAGCGATCTGGCCCAGCTTACACGACTGTTTGTTATTAAAACAACGAAATACTAAAAAAAAGCTATTGAAGGTGTCTCAACGTCATAACACAGGTGAGTTCATTAATTTTTTCATTTTAATATATGAGTGCCGATGTTGAATACTCATCTATTTAGATACTTCATTGAATAATAATTCAAACACGGATCAACATACGAGTGCTAATCTTCACGCTAATGAAGAACCAATAATCTGAATTGAAAAGAAGCATTATTTGTGTTCTTTTCTTTGTTTTATCATTTGTTTTGAAACAAAATTGTATTGAACAAATAATGACATAATTGAACCAGAAATTTTAATGAAAGAAGCTGCTATTTGATCAGAATATCACAATTGAATGAAGCCAGTGGGCCAAAAAATACAGCGATCTGCTGGTTAAAATCAGCGATTTACCGCAGTTTTGGAAGTCTGTAACCGAACCGGTAAAACCGTGGTTAATCGCCGGTTTTAATCACATGGGGACCTTTTTGCAGATATCAATTAATAGAGCGATCGTAGTTTTCATCTAGCAAAAAAATATTAAGACACATCCAGATTAAATTTTAACCTTGGGTAAAAATGAGTATTGTAAGTGAGCATTCATCGAGAGGAAAGATAGTGTGCATGTTAGATTACTTAACAATATAATCAACAGGTACAAGAGGCTAAATGAGAGTTGTGTCGACAAAATGAACAGTGAAATTATATTTGCTATTTTCTGTGGCAAGTATCGTATAGACATTATTATTAGAAAAAAAGGAGTTATATTCTGACGATACATCCGACAACAGAAATACGTTTCTATAGTAAAATAATGTTAACTAAATCAAATAAATTAGTAGATAATTAATTATAAATACAAACATCTTCCAAATGACGAAATCTCAGACCACTCTTATCGACTAGAAAAAATTGTTTTAAAACCTCTAATAACATTATGCATTCAGAGCAGTCAGGGTTTCTGAATTTCACACTACGACCACTCGTTGACAAGTGTGGAGGCGGAGGCTAAACAAGATCAACATTCATAACCACCCAGATGTAATATGACAACCGATAATGGTACTCTTTATATATCTAATCTATGAAAATCAAGGAACTTTTTTGTTTTTATTACTACACAATAGTTCACATAGCTTTCCTGATCGTTACTAATAACAATAACTTAAAAATATCTCACTGCACATTGTCCTATGAGTGAACCATCTTGTAAGACACGAAAGATTTCTTAAAATGAAAAGAAGACCATCTATATCTAGGAAGTTATGGGTCAGACTCAGTGATATTGGCACTGTATTACCGTTTGTGTATCCATTTGTTGTACACCTTTTCTTATAGATTTCAGACAAACGAGAATAGATGTTGCTTTTGAAAAGAAACAAAAATTTCTGAAGATGACGCTAGAAGTTGAAATTTTATTTCGACATAGGACAAGCTTTATATATATATACATTTTTCGAATTAATAATTTAGAATATGTTTAAACAATTAAGCGAATCTAAAAAAATCAGAGATTAGTTATCTTTAGACTAACATGATTAACAATTTAGATAAAACAATTGGATTCATTTTGACAGATCGGAATAATAAAGAAATTAATGGTGAACACGCGCAGAAACAATTCAAAAATATTATTGCATTTGTATTTATACTCAAATTAGTATTAATTATCGTTAAACGCATGATGATTGGTAGTGAATAATTGAATCGAAGAACTAACTACGGCAAAGATTTTTCCTTATTTAAGAACTAAGACTCCTTCAAATCAATTAATATTTCTGATCAAATCAAAGATGAGTTGATGCAACAGATTACAGTTGAGTTTGTGATGAACAAATTTGCCTAAAGACATGCATCTTTTTCAAAGCTTCTTTCTCAAAGAATATCAATTCCTATCAGCTAAATTAGATTTGTCCCACTTTAAGCTAATATCATCACGGAAGATGACATAAAAATCATGACTAAAATCTATTGTCATCGTTCTATGATGTATTATAATATACAAATAAAATTTCTCTGTTAATATTAATTAAGATTTGTCGTTCATGACATAAATAAATCGATCGTTCTCAACAGAGTTAAGAAAGACTTTGCATCAATTATATATGTTTAGATACCTTTTGAAACTTCCACATTTGACTATGAAAATTTTTCAATGAAACAAACAAAAAAAAAATACATTTTCATTTTTATTTACGAAAGTAACACTGTCCATTCTCAATATGATAGCATTCATGACGTATATTATAAGGTAAGTATGCTCTTCGCCGAAAACAAGATTGTCGAAAACTCACATCGCCGACTCGACATGGAAATTTACGGTGA